GTACCTTACATACGCGAGATATTTACATTTGCTATTTAGTGGTTATAAGAGAAAAATCCTATTTTCAAAGGTACTCCTCAAATGCTGAACGAAAAAAGTGTTCAGTATAATAATAATAATAATAATAATAATAATAATAATAAAAAAGACGAAAACAATAGGGCTTTTCGCCTGAAAGCGAAAAGCCCTAATAATAATAATAAAAAAGACGAAAACAATAGGGCTTTTCGCCTGAAAGCGAAAAGCCCTAATTATCCGTATCTATGTTTCACATTGAATAATTATTAAGTTCAAAGACAATGTACCTGTACTTGGATTTGTACCTGCGCACTTATAGCATACGTCAGAAATATATTAATTTGCACAATCGACATGTAGTTGTTTTTGTTTTCAATTGAATATGAAATATGAATTCAACAGAAATCAAAATAAATTTATTCAATTGATATATACATGTATACCGTCAACGGTGAACCAAAGTCTACACTGAACGCCGCTGTTATGTTACGACCTTACATGTATGATAGTGAGCTGTTTGAATTAAATAATTTTTCATTTACTATTTCTTTCTGGCAATTAAACCAACATACCTATAATTTCAATTCTAAAATCATTTTTATAAACAAACCATTTTCTTCCGTAATTTTCTTGCACGGTGGAACACGGAGGGTCACCTGATGAAACGGTAATGTCCACGGTGTGACACGGTGCGTCTTTGGTGTAATCGCAATATACGCACACGGTGGAACTCCGTGTACACGGTGTAACACGGGGTATTTTCCACCGTGTGTTTTCCACGGTGGGGTGGAAGAAACTCGTGAGCTGTACTGTATATAATCACATGGTATAAACATGTTTAGCATGAAATGTGGAGGATTTGTGAGGAGCAAAGCACATCAGAACAAGAAATCTCTGACAAGACTGAAACTCTAGTTTGTGCTTATGTATAACAAAGATGTAATTTAGTATAGCCTATTTGTGTACCAGTCTTACTGAAAATGGACCAAAACTGTAGGAGGCGTGGCATTTGAAAAGAATTAATTTCTCAGAAATTTCTATTCTTAGTAGCCATGACAATAGTCCATTTGTCAAAGCCAAAAACTGATACAGTGACTTAACAAGTCTTGAAGTTCAAGGGACCTTAAAAACATTTGAGAGATGTAGGGGTTCGAAATCTTAAAATGTAAATGAAATCTGGAATTTCCAGGTCCAATCTTTATGGTTCTATCGTTACGTTTACTGGAAGATTTTGGGATTGTATTGGCATATATTCATTTGTATTTTACTGGTAATTCACTCGATTTCAACATTAAAAATTTTATCTTGAATAAATAAAAAAAAAATCCTTAGTTTTAATATTTACTAGATGAAATCCAACGCAAGCGCGGGGAATTGAATTTATACTACTACCGACAGAAAATATTTTGTAGTTTCTACTGACAGCCTACAGGCTTATAGCAGGAAGGAATATTTTGTTCAAAATCCCGCATAAAGTACATTGTAGATGTACGTCTCCACCCCACCCCCCTTTGTAAAAACTTGAAAATTAACAATGTCATTAATTGACGTTTATTGTGAAACCTGTTATACAATGTTATGGATATTGTACTTCAGATGCTCTTATTTCATTTCCGTCAAGGATAAATGCAGTGAATATGCACATTTTACTGATAAATTGATTTGGGGGAGGGGGGTCAAAATGCACAGGGACTTGGGTCTTGGTTTATACCTTACTGATATGTAAATAAGGTAATTTCCTTTTTTTTTTTACAGATCAATAAGGTACATACATATTTATAAACCAAGACTCAAGTACCTGTGTAAAATAAGCTTTTAACGCCCTAGGAATAGACCAAGTATTTGATACAAAAGACTTTTTTCAGAAAAAAAATGAAATGTATTGATTAAAGCTCAAAATTTTAAATCTTTGTTTTTGAACAATACTTTAGTCATTAATTTTCTCTTTACATGTAAGCAAGTTTATTACGAAGTACAAATTGTACTTCGGGTTCGTTGCCACGATGCTCTCGGTAAGGAATATATACATTTTACCGACAATTTTATTAGGAAAACCTACTATATATATACATGTATATATGTGTAATAGTCTTTCGATATATAAATTTATTCAAAACTTATAGTGTTATCAATGATTTACCATTATTTCAATGACCAATCACACAAAAGCTTTTTTTTTATGTTATGCAGCTATAAGCACTTCGTTTTTTTAACATCAGGCTCGATGCTATATGATGTTCTAGAAGCTTCCGTCAATATTAAGATCGGTGAATGACGAAAATAATTTGCCAATTTCCCATTTTAATTGGTTATCACAACTTATTTCTTTTATATCATTTAAATCAAGTTTTGATTGAATAATTCAGTGATGACGTTTTATGAAATAAATAAACGATTGCTTGTTGTCAGTTTCATTAAAAATTGTCAGTAACTTAGATCCGCCAACCGGAAACACCACCGTACTCACGTTTTTGCTATTTCATGGCTGTTTATAGAAAATAAAAGTAGACTTTTAATTTAATGTATGATACTTACTATGTTAGTGAAATCTAAATATAGTTTACGGACATCATCTTGTATCTAGTGTATTGTTAGAGGAGTAAGTAAGAACTCTGGTGCACCGGTTTCGGAGTTTATTTGCAAAATTTATTAAATTATAAGTATAGATTTGTTCTGAATTCATTACCATGCCAAGATGGTATTTTGCGCAAAATGAAATTCTGAAGAGTGTGGCCTGATCTCCCCTATATTGACCTGACTGGGCCCATGCAGCACCAGAATACTCAGTAATATAATTCAGTTCTTGCGACAGAAATATTTTGCAATGGTTGCCATACTGGGATATAAAGAATTGTAATATATGAGAAATCAATTATCAATCCTTGGATGACACACAGGTATAATGTTACTTATGTAAACACCAAATTAACAAGCCCCACGCATTCACCGTTAAGTTAAATTAATCACAAACTTTACTGATTTGTATGCATAATCAACACTTTGAGAAATCGACAGGACACAATGAAATCTGTGTAATGGGATCCAGGTCTTGGCTCTCAAAATAGAGAACTCTGGGAGACTGGAAGCTTCCAGATGAGGAATAAATTTGCTTAGTTATACAGAAAAAAATGGAACTGGGGTTTTACTTTGAGAGATCAAGAACTTTGAGATACTGGAGTTTGAGCCATCGAGTCACCTGTACGTAGAATTATGTATCTAGGTATAGTCTACTTGCATATCAAGTTTTACTGATATTGGGCCAAAACTGTAGGAGGAGTTGTGACGGTACATATTGTCGTTTTGTACATATATTGTCGTCGGCGACAATATGTACCTACCCTCACTGCACATACTGTCGTCCATCGGTGCATATTGTCGCCGGCGACAATATGTACCAAGACGAGCCTTATTTTTCTCCTGCATAATGGACGACAAAATGTACAGTCAAGCACCAGCACATATTGTCGTCGGCGACAATATGTACAGTAAAGGTCGGTATATATTGTCGTCGATATATTGTTTTGACGAGTATTTACTTGAGAAAAGAAAGGGAAATTGACAAACATACACACGCACGGAGGGAGACAGACAGCATTACTCGCAATACTGTAGGGAGAAAACTTTTTGGTCAGAAAATTGTGTCCAGGATTGATGTACATCACTATGACATATCAAGATACCGTAATTCTTGAGATATCTGATAAATCAGCTTTTCTTTTTTTCTTGTAATATATACTTGGAGATTGAATACAGGTATTTTTTTTTTTTGGTTCAGTAGTAATGATTATTTGGAAATTATTCTTATATACAATCATGTGCCGATATAATATTATAAATATAATTTATTGTTAATAATAATATAAGAATAACGCAAAAAATAACATTTTTAGATCACCTGAACTGGAAGTTCAAGTGAGCTTTACTGATCACATTTTGTCTGACCGTCCGTCTGTCTGTAAACTATTCATAATTTCAGCTTCTTTTCAAGAACTACTGGGTCAATTTCAACACATTTTTACCAAAAACAAACACACAAAAACAAAATCAATTTTGTTCAAGTCATGACCCCAGGGGTAATGTGGGGCCACAATGGGTGATCAAAGTTTTACATAGGAATATATACAGAAAATCTTTAAAAATCTTCTCAAACACCAAAGACCCAGACAGATGTAGCCCCCCCCCCCCCTTGCTTGGTGGTTTGATTTTTTTTTTGTGCTTTGGTAAATTCTGTTTGTTTAACTTGTTTATACTTAGTCCACAGGTAAAATTTCATAATTAAATAATTAACTTAACATATACAATAACACTGATGGACGACAATATGCGCAGTGAGGGAAGGTACACATTGTCGCCGGCGACAATATGAACAGGACGACAAAATGTACCGTCACAATCACGCTGCAAGAAATAGCATACAAGACACGTCAGTGTGATTCTCACACCAATTACATTCACAAAACTACCAAAAAACACCTTTAAACAACAATATCTGTGGGGCGACAATATGTACAGTGAGGGTGAGGCACATAATGTCGCCAGCGACAATATGTACATATGTAACTTTTCAGTCGGTGACAATATGTACAGATGGACGACAATATGTGCAGTGAGGGTAGGTACATATTGTCGCCGACGACAATATGTACAAAACAACAAATTGTACCGTCACAGGAGTAATGTTTCGAAAAATTGTTTACAGACTGACAGACAGACAGAAGGACGGACAGAGTACAGACACCTTACTAATGCACAAGCCCTTCTGGTCTCTGATCAGTAGAGATAGAAACTTTTCTATATATGCATGATGGTCAAATCTTTTGGACCCATAAATTCAAATCATAAACAGTGTAAAAAATGTTCCAGAACAGCTTAAACATTATAATTGTATCAAAAAGTATTCAAATATGCCCAATTATAGAAGGAAATGTTTAAATATGAACTTTTCTAATACATAAATTTCAGTGCTCTTTTTCTTTACATACCAACACAGGAGGACTGTTGTTTGGAACCAGCATATGCTGTAGTCTTGTCAACATTACATGGGAAGCAATGAAAATACCCAGAATTCTCCTGGTAGTATCCCAGGGGGCACTGCTGACAGGAACCTGTGCTCAGATTGTAAAAAGCACCACTAGCACAGGAATCTTCAGAGAAAAAAAAAGAACATGTATTAAATAAATTGTATGAAGTTGTCACATGAAAAATGAAAAAAAAAATTGCTATTCACTTGATCATACACTTCAGAAAATCTTGCTATTAGGCTAACTCACCTTTACAACTGAGAATCCCCTGAGCCCCAGGTTGGTAGGTGGTGGTGGTTTCCTGGCTGGAGGAGGGACAAAATTTACAGGAAAACTGCCCCTCCTGATCTTGGTACTGCCCAACAGGACAGGGCTGACACAGTCTAGAGGAGGAGTTATAGAAAGTCCCAACACTGCACTGGACTGGGGAAAAAACAGTAGAATAAAATTAACAAGGACTATGGAGCTAGGTAAAAGCCTAAAGGTTGAAAATTAAACTTTATTTGTAAAGAAATACTATACAACTCATCCTCCATAGTATTCAAAGAAATTTGAACATGGTGTCCTTTCCTTTTATTTAAATTTTTACAGAATATGTTGGGTTTTTTTTGATGTGCTGGGGGACTACTCATTACTTTCTCTACCCTTTCATTCCAAAAACATAACAAACAACTACCAAAAATTGTCACTTAGGACTGATTCCTGGAGAACACAAGCATGAACCATGCCTGGGGCTGATCCCAGCAGGTGACAAAGCAAAACAAATTCAGGGCTGATCCTAGGAGGATTCACTTGATCAAGATGCAATGCCTAGGGCTGATTCCTAAAGACATGAACACACCAACACTCAAGGCTTATTCCAGGAGTGCATAATACCTGGGGACTTATCCCTGCAGACAACAACACAAGATAAACCTCTGGGCTAATGATCCCTAACAGCAAAGACACATCAACATTCTGGGAGCCCAAAATGCCTGGGGTTGATCCCAGCAGCCAACAAAATCCTGAGCTGATCCCAGAAGTATACTAGCTATTACTTAACACCACCTGGGCTGATTCTAGCAGGCACCAGACTAATACTCTGGGCTGATCCCAGTTATGCATAAAATACACATATAAGAATGTATGTACTACACGTTGATCCCAGGAGGATTCACTCAAACAAGATGCGCTACTTTTTCTGATCCCTATAGGAACAAACACACTTACACACCATGCTGATCCAAGGAGTGCCCAAAGCTGATCCCAGAGGGCAATAAAGTAAGATACCCTCCATGCTGATCCCGTAGGTTTCACTAGACAAGATTCAATGCCTTGACTGACCCCTTACACTTTTTAAAACACACCAACACTATGAACTATCTATATGATCTTACCACAGAGCTCTCCAACAAGCTGATATCCTCTAAAACACACAGGCAGGAAATCAAACTGAATGGATGACAGAACTGGTGTGGAAGTCTACAAAGGCAAATGTTAACATTATACCATTACACAACTATCATAGGGGAAAAAATTATTGTATACAAGCAATTATAATGTGCATTTGTCATTTCTCGACTACAAGTAAAATCAATTTATGAAGGATCTGAAAAGTTGTTTATCATGAAGTCAAAGGTGCGTTTGTCTGCAAACTCTGTTACCAAAATGTCTTTAACATGTGAAGTTACCGACTGCCCGTTTGTTAAATATTCACTTCAAAAAGAGAGTATTCAAAATTATAATCAACATTTAACTAAATGTCAAAACTTACCATTACTAGTACATGTAAATAATGCATAATTAATACCATATAAGCATAGTAATTCACAAATCGAAGTACTTCTTTACAAGAAATTTTTGATTTATTTTAAATTTTATAGATACATATAGAAGTTTCCAATAGCAGTTTTAGATTACCTGATGGATGAGAAGATGGCCGTGAGATAAGGGGCACCTGTTGGTTCTGGTGGACAAGTGACACTAACATTAGAACATACTCCATAGCCACATAACCCCCTCTGCCACAGAGCACTGATGGTTGAGAGGCGGGACTTAGCCAGAGAAGCCACATCCCCCTGAATCTGGCCACACCTCTCTGTCAGAGTTAATTCCACTGTCATTGTCAGATCCACAAGTCTGCTGGTGAAAGCTTGAAAGGGATGAGAAAAATGATACATGAAAAGAATTTTCTCTGTAAATTTGTATCACTTTCCTCAATAGAATATATTATAATGAACTCGTACTGTACATTCCTAAATATGCATGATGCATTAATATATCATCATGAAATTTAAAGGAAAGCACCAATTGCAAAATTAAATTACTGGTTTTTAGTTCTTTATTGATGAAATGTAGAAATCCTCTGATCAATTGGCCAATCACTAACTCATGTTCTTGCCATATGAAGTTTAAGAGTTGTCAAGCTATGTTAGTACTCTTTTATAATAAGGAATCTATATACAATACTGTAAAATACTTGATTAGCAGCAATCATATTTCAATATTTACATTTCCAAATATTTTCCTCAAGATTCTTTGCAAATTAAAATACTGTTCATTTTCTCATGAACTACCATGGATGAGCAGGAATACCTCCATTGTTACGTCATAATACTGTGCTTGACGTCAAAACTATAGTGCAAACTGTTTGCTTTAAAAATGACAGTTGAATGGTGTAATTTGTGGTAACTCATCAGAAAATAATGTAAATATAAACAAGAGGTCCATGGACCACATCGCTCACCTGAGTAACTTTGGCCATGCTGTTCTTTACCAGATTTCCCCCCTTTTTAATACCTATTGTGGCCCCGCCCTACCCCCCGGGGTCATGATTTGAACAATTTAGAATCTACACTACATGATGATGCTTCCACATAAGTTTCAGCTTTTCTGGCCCAGTAGTTCTTGAGAAGAAGATTTTTGAAGATTTTTCCTATAAATTTCGATGTAAAACTTGGATTCCCTATTGTGGCCCCGCCCTACCCCCGGGGGTCATGATTTTAACAATTTACAATCTACACTACCCGAGGATGCTTCCACATAAGTTTCAGCTTTTCTGGCCCAGTGGTTCTTGAGAAGAGGATTTTTAAAGATTTTTCCTATATATTTCAATGTAAAACTTGGATTCCCTATTGTGGCCCCGCCCTACCCCCGGGGGTCATGATTTTAACAATTTACAATCTACACTACATGAGGATGCTTCCACATAAGTTTCAGCTTTCTTACATATTTCAATTTCAATTTACAATCTACACTACCCGAGGATGCTTCCACATAAGTTTCAGCTTTTCTGGCCCAGTGGTTCTTGAGAAGAGGATAATGTAAAACTTGAATTCCCTATTGTGGCCCTGCCCTACCCTGGGGGTCATGATTTTAACAATTAGAATCTACACTATCCCAGAATGCTTCCACATAAGTTTCAGCTTTTCTTGCCCAGTGGTTCTTGAGAAGAGGATTTTTAAAGATTTTTCCTATATATTTCAATGTAAAACTTGGATTCCCTATTGTGGCCCCACCCTACCCCCGGGGGTCATGATTTTAACAATTTAGAATCTACACTACTTGAGGATGCTTCCACATAAGTTTCAGTTTTTCTGGCCCAGTTGTTCTTGAGAAGAAGTTTTTTAAAGATTTTTCTTACATATTTCAATGTAAAACTTGAATTCCCTATTGTGGCCCTCCCCTACCCTGGGGGTCATGATTTTAACAATTAGAATCTACACTATCCCAGAATGCTTCCACATAAGTTTCAGCTTTTCTGACCCAGTGGTTCTTGAGAAGAAGATTTTTTAATGACCCCACCCTATTTTTGTCTTTTCTTGATTATCTCCCCTTGTAAGGGGACTTGGCCCTTTATTTTCAAAACTTAAACTCCCCTTTGCCTAAGGATACTTTGTGCCAAGTTTGGTTAAAATTGGCCCAGTGGTTCTTGAGAAGAAGTTGAAAATGTGAAAAGTTTACAGACGGACGGACGGACAGACAGTTAGACGGACGGACAACTGGTGATCAGAAAAGCTCACTTGAGCTTTCAGCTCAGGTGAGCTAAAAATGAATTTAATTTTTGAAGATTCATGAGGTACACAAACTACGACGCTTCACGTCAGCATATTTATCATGAAGCGCTAACGCGCTTCATGAAATATGCCGGCGTGAAGCGTTGTCTTAAATGTCTTTTGCACTGCTTCTTCTCCACTAATCCAAGTACACAATATACTCTAAATTTTAAATGCACTAATTTACAACTTTTACAGTATTTATTAGCTTCAGACTAAGACTCCTCCATTATTTCCTTCTCTTTTAAGACCTTTATTACTAACCAGCACAAGGAGGAAAGACAAAGGGCTGCAATCGATGGACAGAGTCAAACAAATTATACATGTTACAGCTGTAGTACTTAGGGCCTGGTTGACTGATTGCATGGTTAGGCTGTAAACAAATGGTGGAACATCTTTCTCCATCTTTCAGTGACGTGCAGGATTTAGCTCCCTTGTATGGAGCATCAGGAAGCACGGCTCCATAAGCAACTCCTTCAAAAGAAAAATATTTGTAAATATGACAACATAGATTAAACTATCAATTAGGTAGATATAATATGTAATTCAGAATGTTTAATGCCCTTTCCCTTTCATATAGCAAAATTATGTAACTAGGAAACTAACTTCGATTATAAAGCACAAATGAGCACACAGCTGCATTTCCACTGGCATCAAATCCTGCTGAGGAAATCTCATAGAATCCCCAGGGTAACCTCTGAGCTGTAAAAAAAGAATAAAAAAGTCTAATCCACTTCATAGCAGCCCAATTATTTAACAAATGGAACACCTCCAATTAAATTTCTGGTATTCTTAAAATCATAGATATGCAATATGTTATATACCTCCTGACTGCTGGGTGTTTTTAACCTGGTTGGCATTTATAAAGGAGGCCTCCACCCACGTTGGAAATGCAGATCTTTCTGTTACCAGCAGCTGGTCACCAGGACACTGCTTCATAGATGGGTATTGCGAAGCTAAAAATACAGAAATTTTAATCTAAACACTTCATAGGAAAATTCCCTGGCCAACCATAAAACATTTTTTACATACACTTCCTTTTAGATTCTTTTTTATATTCTAGGTTAGAAAAATGTCTAATACCATCAAATTCCTTGATACAATTGTCTGCTGTTCTGCACACAGAAGCTAGAAGCTGACTCTGGTAGTCCACAAATGCTCTGTTGTTCTCTATGATATCTGTGATAGGGTTGTGGATCAACTGACTCGGTATAAAGTGTGTCTTGTTATAAAGAATGGAAATCTCAGTACTCAGGTCTGACTTTGTCAAGTAAAGCTGACTCAAGCGACCAATGAAAGCATTACTTCTCAAGATGATATTGTTTGATTGGTCATATCGTCCTCCCAATACCAACCAACCCCTGAAGAAAAAATTTTTAATAACAACTATGCATTAGAAATGAATTGTATGAATTTACATGAAAGAATGCTTACCATGGAGGTAACTGCTTCCCTGTGGCAAAATGTTCCTGTTTAGCAGCCAGCAGGTTATCAATGTATATGGTGACCACACCCATCTTACTGGCAGTGTCTAATCCACTAGTCCAGCATAAGGCCACATGATGCCATAATCCATCCATTATACTCTATAGAGTAATCATATAATTTAACTGAATTAGATACACTCTTACAGAAGTAACATCAAAATAAATACTGGTACAAAAATTAATTGTAAATGAAAATGATTACCATTTTTTTTTTTGAGGGGTGGGGGGTGGGGTGGGGTGGGGGGGGGTTAAAACATGAAATTCCATATAGAATCTATAGTGTATCTATCTCAGTTTCATACCTTAGATCCATAAGAGAGGTACACAGCTGTGGACTCGATAGTGACAGCTGTACCACTGGATCTCATCTCAATAAACTCAACCGGTATAAAACTTTTATCCCTTAAACATAAAAAAGTGAAAATGAAATACTGTCATCTAAATTTTTTTAATTTTAACAAAAAAATCTTTAACAATCATCTATATATGGCTGTATATAACATTGCCTTTGTTACACAGTGTAGACTTTAACATTCTTTGAAAGATCTGACTTACATCAATGTATAAAGGGAGATAATTGGTCCTGGCCTGGATTTATCTGTGTATCGAAGCCACAGTGAGATGGAGAAATTGGTTGAATTCAGAGAAAATATGGACGATTCTGGTTTGACTTCATTTTGTGTGCCACAAGTATTGCTTGGTTCAATGATCAAATCAAAAGTCTGAGTTACATCTGAAAAAATAACAGAACAACTCATAGGACCAGAGTACATTTATAAATTACTACTGGTACCTGGAAAAGCTTTTCAGTTGAAGTCAATTCTCAATCTATTATTATTCAATATATGACAAAAATTATCATAACAGATGAATGGACATTTTTCACTTTGGTAATCAATTCAAAATTTAAAAATCTGCATGCCTATCTTTTGGGTTAATGTTACATACTTTACAGAGCTAGCATAATGATCTTTCCATTTCAGTAAATATTTCCTGAAAACCCAAACTCTGTTATCCATATGACAAGAACTGTACTGACTTTTGTCACAGAATTCTCCAATTCTGCCCTCTGTACAGACACAAGAGACCGAGTTGATTCCGTCCACACACCTGGAATTAGCTGGACAGATAGCAGAAATACAGTCATCAATATTAGTCTCACACTGGGACCCTGTATAACCTGATAATAAGGACAAACAATTATGTAGCTGAGAAAATACTAATATATCAACAACAACAAAACAACTGATATTTTCATGTGTGTGATTTTTTTTAATGGAAAAAGATACAAGAAATATATTGATCAGTTTTGAAGTTAATATAACAATTGAGCTGAAAAGATACAGATGTGTACAAGTATAAGAAAAAGAGCACAATATTCACTTGGATATATTTACATTTCCAAATATTTTTTCCTTAAGATTCTTTGCAAATTAGAAAAAGTTCATGTTCTCATGAACTACCGTGGGATAAGAATATTTCTACTGTGATGTGATTGAAGTAAAAAAATAGTGCAAACTTGTTTTTTTTTCAAAATTGATCATTGAATGACAAAAATATGTGGCAAGTCATCAGAAAAATAATGTAAATATAAGATATGAATTTAATTTTTGAGAATTCAAGAGGTACATGAACTACAACTCTTCACACCTGCATATTCATCATGAAGAGCTAACACACTTCATGAAATAGGCCGGCGTGAAGCGTTGTAGTTCGATCATGTCCTCATGAATTTTTAAAACTTAAATTCATCTCTTAAATATCTTTCTTGATTCTGAGAAATATGACATACCTGGTATGCAGGTACATCTGACTCGTCCGTCCGACGCCTGGCAGGACCCACCATTAAGACATACGGTGTTCTCACAGGAAGTTAATGGAAGGTGACATCCAGACCCTGTGTATCCTAATAGTTTCCAATAAATAAATGAAAATTAAAAATCATTACTGATAAATATGTACAGTAAAACATAAACAGGGCAGACAAGCTTCTAATGAATTCTTGCTTACGGCAATGTTATTTTCATTCCTTTTAATTTTAAAATGTATTATTAACTAATATTGGATATATTGAATTACATTAGTAAGGAATCTAAATTTTTAATCCCTGGCACTTCTCTATTAGCATGTTTTATACTTTTTAACAATTGATTAGATGTTAATGGTCAAGGATTACCTGGAGAGCAATCACAATGAAACGTCTCATTCTTAACAGAGCAGTTACTTCCTGGACCAACACAGGGATTGGCTAGATTACAAAGGTCATAGGTCATCTCACAGTTTTCACCAAGGAAACCACTCAGGCATCTGTAGAAATAATTAAAAAATCATAAAAAAAAAATGTTAATTTTCAAAAGTAGAATTTTTATGATTTACATTTTGAATACATTTCGATATATTGACAACATATTTCAGTGAAAGAATCTTTAAGGTTTTCAATACATCTTACAAGCAGACATGTTTATCAATCGTGTTGACACATTGTCCACCATTCTGACAAGGTGAGGTTGAGCACCTGTCCACCACCCTTTCACACCTGTCCCCCTCCCACCCTGACAGACAGGTACAGTTATACAGGGCTCCTGTTTGTGTACAGATCCCCCCATGCTGACAGGGGAAACTTTGGCAATCAACATCTCCTATCTACAAAAAGGCAACAGTTTTTCCTCTATAAGCATCAAATCTTCAATTTAGCAAAATTAAATGATGAACATAAAACCAGTCTCTGACGAAACTGTAGCTCTACTGGTTTGTACTTATAGCAAAGGAAGATAAAAGTAGCACTTGGACTTGAAACAGCAATAAATAGAATAATAATCCTTGGTTTAGTCTCTTTTTGTGGCAAGATTTATTGCAATCAGACTAAAACTGTAGGAAGAGTAGCCATTTGAAAGAATTTTACAGAAATTTTGATTTTAGTAACCGTAGCAACATCATTCAACAAAATCAAAAAACAATAAAGACAATTATGTATCTTAGTGTAGTCTACTTGTGTTGTGTGCCAAGTTATACTGAAATCAGACCAAAACTGTAGGAAGAGTAGCATTTTGAAAGTATTTCACAGAAATTTCTATTTTTAGTAACCATGGCAACACTGTTCATCGAAATCAAAAACCAATACATAGAATTATGTATCTTAGTGAAGTCTACTAGTGTGCCAAGTTATACTGAAATCAGATCAAAACTGTAGGAGGAGTAGCATTTTGAAAGTATCTCAAGGAAAATTCTATTTTTAGTAACCAAGGCAACTCCATTCATTGAAATCAAAGAAAAAAGAAGGTACAGAATTATGTATCTTAGTGTAGTCTACTTGTGTGCCAAGTTATACTGAAATCAGACCAAAACTGTAGGAAGAGTAGCATTTTGAAAGTATTACAGAGAAATTTCTATTTTTAGTAACCATGGCAACACCGTTCATCGAAATCAAAAACTGATAAAAAGAATTATGTATCTTAGTGTAGTCTACTTATATGCCAAGTTTTATTGAAATCAGATCAAAACTGTAGGAGGAGTAGCATTTTGAAAGTATTACAGAGAAATTTCTATTTTTAGCAACCATGGCAACACCATTCATCGAAATCAAAAACCAATACACAGAATTATGTATCTTAGTGTAGTCTACTTGTGTGCCAAATTATACTGAAATCAGACCAAAACTGTAGGAAGAGTAGCATTTTGAAAGTATTACAGAGAAATTTCTATTTTTAATAACCATGGCAACACCGTTCATTGAAATCCAAAACAAAGTCTACTTATATGCCAAGTTTTATTGAAATCAGATCAAAACTGTAGGAGGAGTAGTGTTTTGAAAGTTTTTCAAGGAAATATCTATTTTTAGTAACCATGGCAACACTGTTCATCGAAATCAAAAACCGATATACAGAATTATGTATTTTTGTGTATTCTACTTGTGTGCCAAGTTTTATTGAAATCAGACCAAAACTGTAGGAGGAGTAGCGTTTTGAAAGTATTTCTCAGAAATCTCTATTTTTAGTAACCATGGCAACACCGTCCATCGAAATTAAAAACCGATATACAGAGTTATGTATCTTAGTGTAGTCTACTTGTTTGCCAAGTTATATTGAAATCAGATCAAAACTGTAGGAGGAGTAGCGTTTTGAAAAATTGTTTACAGACTGACGGACAGACAGACGGATGGACGACGGACACCTTAATATCGCATAAGCTCTTCTGGTCTCTGACCAGTAGAGCGAAAAATAAATGGGAAAAAAATCTCTCAGAAGTGCAAAATCTGTTAAACCTCTAGGCACACACACACACACATAAATACATGTACAAACAGCTGAACTTTGTCATCTTAATCACAAGTGTGTTGGCAGTCCCAACCACTTTTTATGTTTTTTACCCTCCTTATTTAAGATCCTCTGGTATTTCGAAATTTAACCTTAGTCCAAGAGTTCAAGAGAACAAGGTTTGACTGTATATACATATTCTAACAGTATCATTATATTATACATTTATTGACTGGGTTCGAGGGCAACATGTGTTTTGTCAGACCCAAGAACCAAACTGTTTGCCTGAGGCCATTAGGCCTCAGGCAAACAGTTTGGTTCAAGGGGTCGACAAAACGTATTTTGCCCGAGAACACAGTCAATAAATGTTTTGTTATACCTTTTATTTATTTATTTAATTTTTTTTTTTGACATACATGTATGTCGAACACCAACAAATGCAAATGAGATTTAGCTGACCCCACCTATTATGTGACGTAAGCGGTCCAACATCTCATCTCGAGGTCCAGTATCTCACTCCACGGTCAAACATCAATTTTTCTATGCCCGCTCAGTAAAACATTGGAAATGTTAGACTTTTAATAGTATTGATTTATATAGGAATAAATTTTTAAAGGTATAACAGAGTTTAGTATGAACTTGTTTCTCTTTCTATACATGATGTGTGATATACATCTTGAGTGATTCCCTCTCTCCCGACTTACATCACAGGTTTTTCCTCTGTACCCTACATGACATTGGCAGTAGAAGTCATTCAGCAGGTCCATACAGTAATCCGAATGGCTGACATTACATGGATTTGGTAAACAGTCATTCTTCATGTCTTCACAGTTCGGACCTGTATAATTTTAATAGATTAACTTCACTGAAAAAAACAGTACATGATAACCATTCATTTAGTATCTGAAAAATAAAGAGAAATAACTCTGTCTTTAACCTCCTGTTCCAGGCTGGATACAGTTGCACTTGTATCCATTGACTTGATTTAGGCACTGTCCTCCATTTTTACAAGGATTTTTGGAACATTCATTAACATCAAACTGGCATCTAGGTCCACCATACCCTGGGAGACATGCACACACATAGCCTGCATACTGGGGAATACATTGACCTCCATTTTCACAAAGATTAGTGGAGCAATAGTTCAACAGTTCACACTGGGTATCATCTATCCAATAGAAATTATCAAAATTAAAAACAATTCAACTTACTGCATTTACTACACTCAATCTGCTTCATAGTATTTGAACTCTAAAAAACAAAAGCATAAATAAAATATGTAAATTATTATTTACATCAGAAGCAAGGATATGTACCAGAAGAGAAACACAGCCATTGTTCCTCTTGGTAGGATTCTATTTTACTTCGATGACAATGACACAATACCTGTACTTTTATGTATCCAAAATAGTACAGTCCGGTCTCGTTATTACGGTGATGGTTTTATAAGATAGAACGCTTATTACGTTGTAAATTCAAAGCACAAAACCATTTCTTTACAGATCTATACAAAATAGGACTGTTTATTATGATGTCCTAAAATGCAGGGACTCAGTATTACGATGTAAAAATTCTGTCCAAAAATTTTTTCATTCCGTGTTTATTCAGTGCTGATCGACGGTAGACACTTAAGGAGATGCTAAATAAACATTGAAACATCTGTGCTCTGACAGAGTGTTAACCTACAGACCTGTTAGGCGATTAGTGACGCTTGACTGCACACACTTTGACTGTTCTAGCGAGGTCAGCAGAACTGGAGACATCGTGTCAAATTAAAGCTACTGTTAAACAATTAAACTGTTTATTTATAAATGTAGTCTCTAGTTTATCTATCTCCGAAAAGTTTATCTTTTATACTTTGGTTAATAAATAAAATTAATTTATTAAATAAAAGGTTACATTTAATCTTGTGCATGTATGTTAAACACGTATTGTGTAATTTCGTTTGCAATTAAACTGCGGTAATGGACAGCTTGGGTATCAAACATAATTTGGGCCAAATTTGAACTTCACTTACGTTTTAACAGCTTGGATTGTGGCTTAGACTACATCACAGGTGTCAGAGGAAATTCAAATCGATAATTGCTGAACTGCTTATTGAACTCGGTTCAGTAATTTAAAAAATCAAATTCATTTTGACATATAGCTTGTGTGTTGTCAAATTCCGTCCCTAAATATGCCAGTCACACTGCCCTCTTTCATCAGTTGTTCACTGCTTCTCTAAGCTCATTGAACACCCAAAAGCTCACTAAAAATTCTTCTTGTTATGTAGTAATGACTATTAATTGAATACGAAGACGCCTAATTGAAATTTTTATGAACGCATTATCTAGAGAGTCAGAAATGAAAGTAAAAGTAAAATGAAATGGCGGTAGATAAATGAAGATCGCCGAAGTTTTTTTAAGAAATATGCATATTTCTTTTAAAATGAAGGAAATAGAAGAAATATCATCATGAAGATATCTATTTAAGTTAAGTTGTTAATAAATTATATATGTGTTAGCGTTTTAATTAAGAATTGGAACAGAAGAAGGGAACAAAAGGGCAAAAATACACCTTCCACAAAAACAAGCTTTCAAAACGATGTTTTAATGGATTTTATTGGGAACCTTTCTTACGTTGCCCTCGGTATTACGATATTTTCCCGTGACAAAATGAACATCATAGTAACGAGACTGCACTGTATTCATCGTTATTCTTCAAACAAAATTTCATTTCATCACAGACATTTATCGGAAGGTTAAATTTGCAATGTAACACTAAAAGTTGATAATACAACTTACTGAGCCTGTGTCCTCCAGTACACACACAGATAGCCTTGTTATTGAGGTAATCATCCACACAAGTCCCTCCCTGGCATGATGAGGGGGTACACACAGCTTCCCAGGACCGGATCTGACAGAAATCCCCAGAGTAACCAGTCACGCACGTACAGGAAAATCCATTGACTTTGTCCACACAAGATCCACCATTGACACAGAGATTACTGGTGCACTCATCTGCAAAGATACAGGGTTTCTACTTCACTAACCTGAACAAATACAATACAGGGTTATTACTGTAGTTCTAAGACAGAATACAACACAAGCAGAAAGAGATGATGTAATGGCAACTGTTTCTGTGTTTTACATAAGTCATAAACAGTCATACCTCATTGTTCCAAACTTGAATGGGCTGAGAAAAAAACCTTCAAGATATCTATTCGAGATATTGAGGTAAAAATACAAAATGAAAGAGCGGTGAGGAGTTCCAACTCACATCTATTGTAATCGAGATATCCATGTTCAAAATCCACAAGTTCAACTGTCATAACATGTTGACATGTAATAACATAAATCAATGTTTCCAATATACATGTACTAGTTAAATGCTTGTTTAAATTACTTGTACATGTAGTTATAGACTTTTGTTTAAATTTTCAGTTACTTAGAGAATGGTTCTATGAAGTGTTAGTTTCTTAGAATAAAGTATGATTCTGTGAATTAAGCTACTATAAGTATGATTCAATGAGCTGTAAGTTACTTGGAGTATGATTCAATGATGTGTAAGTTACTTGGAGTATGATTCTAAGATGAGTAAGTTACTTGGAGCATGATTCTATGCCAGGTTAGTTACAGAGTATGATTCTATGACATGTAAGTTACAGAGTATGATTCTATGAAGTGTAAGTTACAGAATATGATTCTATGATGTGTAAGTTATAGAATATGATTCTATGATGTGTAAGTTACTTGGAGTATGATTCTATGAAGTGTAAGTTACAGAGTATGATTCTAGGAAGTGTAAGTTACAGAGTATGATTCTAGGTAGTGTAAGTTACAGAGAATGATTCTATGAAGTATGATTCTCTGACATGTAAGTTACATAGTATGATTCTATGATGTGCAAGTTACTTGGAGCATGATTCTATGACATGTAAGTTACAGAGTATGATTCTATGACATGTAAATTTCAGAGTATGATTCTATGAAGTGTAAGTTACAGAGTATGATTCTATGATGTGTAAGTTACAAAATATGATTCTATGATGTGTAAGTTATAGAATATGATTCTATGATGTGTAAGTTACTTGGAGTATGATTCTATGAAGTGTAAGTTACATAGTATGATTCTAGGAAGTGTAAGTTACTTGGAGTTTGATTCTATGACATGCAAGTTACTAAGTGTACAGTTTTATGAAGTGTTTTTATTACATACCAATATCTATGCTGCAGTCTTCCCCTGTGTACCCAGGCAAACATATACATTTGTGTCTGATCACTCCCTCTTCTACACAAGAGGCTCCATTTTTACAAGGGGAACTGGCACAGGGCTGATCAGGTACTGTACAGCTGTTAGAAAAAATATTCACAAATCACTTAGATTGTCTGTTCTTTTTTCAATAATGACAATAAAAATCACAAAAAAAATTAAGGAAAAATATACAAAATCCAGTCAAATTCATGTATTCCCAAAGTTAACGATGTTATGAGTATGCGCTTCTTATGTAGCCAGTAACTGATCTATTTTCAAGCAGCTTATGTAATTGGCTGGCTTGATAAAATTCTCTGTATCCTATGGCCTACGTGCCTTTTCTTTTAAAAGTAGCATAGGATTTCCCAATATCTGTGTATTATATTCTTTACATATTGAACAAGTAATGCAAGACTGAGCTGGTTTCCTGGGTAGCTAAAAGCCAACCCAGTCCGAGAGTATCATATGACTTACTTGTTTCAAAAGTGGCCTATGACTGACTAGAGGCCTGTTCAACAGAGAGGGCACTCACAAGAGCTCAAGAACATTTCTATAAGGTGGGATAGGGAATGTTGGTCACCACTTGTGAACACTTGTGTTGTTGAACATGTCTCTGGCTCCTGGGTGGCAAAAAAAAAATAGCTGGCCCCAGAGTGAAACACAACTGTCTCCTAAATACCATGTGACAGAACTGGTTTCTGGGTACCCAATACAAGTCCTAATTTACCTGGTACAGTGTCTTATGACTTACATGGTCCCTGTGTATCCTGTGTAAGAGGGACAGAAACACTGATATCCTCCATTATGATCTCGACACTGGCCCCCATTTTTACAAGGGACAAAGGGGGGACTGAAACTGCAGTCATTCAAATCCTCTCCACATCTTGGTCCACTGTGCCTGGCTGGAATAAGTGTTATGAGCTTAACCCGTCATTTTGCAGTGCAAAAAATGTAAACCCATGTATAGACTAACTAGAAAATCCTTATAAAGAAAATTTATGAATTTTTCCTAAAGATCTCATAAAAAATTTGACATACCCTGACAATCACAAGTATATCCTTCAGCTGTTGAAGAGTTGAAAGAGCAAAGTCCATTATTGAAACATGGTATGAAGGAACAGGGGTTCATGAATACTTCACATCTCTTCCCAGAGTAGTCTGTGTAAAATGAAACGAGTCACTGAAATTCTACACCCAGGAGACAAGTAAATATAATCTCTGTCCTCCAAAAACAACCTTGACTGACCTGATTGGAGCTCTCTACCAATTAACAAGTAAACTATGATTTTTGACTTCCAAGAATGACCTTGACCTGACCTCATTGAAATCAATTTCATATATTTGCATTACATTCCAACCAAACAGGGAATTTGGTGTTTAATAAATTAACACTTACAATGCAAAAGCAACATTTACTAAAATCTGAATTCATTCAAATCAAGGACTCTAAGTTATTGCCTGGATATCAGACACACAATGTCTTTTCTTACTTAGGGGAGTCCGACAGAATGTTTTGATAATTTGTATTTCTAAGACACTCGATGATACTCACACTGAGGACAGCTGCAGTAGAAATCATGTCTGATGACCGCACACACTCCTCCATTCTGACAGGGACTGGGCTGACAAAGGGAACTCACTGAAAAAAAAACCAAATAACAAGGAATTAGTCAACATATTCAGAACCACAGATAAATGGTAAAGAATCCATACTAACAAATAGAAATTATAGTAAAAGAAATATATACAGTAAAACCTCGTTATCTTGAAGTCAATGGGACCAAGAAAAAACTTTAAGATATACAAAGATTAGAGATATTCAGGGTAAAATATTCTAAGAATAAGGGGTTGGGACTTAAAAAATCACTTCAACATATCCATGGTATTCGACATACCAATTGAAGTTCAAGTGTATTTCTACATCTTAACCAATAGCTAAAGAAATAGGTATTTTTTCTTTCATTTAGACACATATTGTTTTGAAGTTAGCTACGAATTCAGTATGGCATTATATACTTAATATATAACATTAAGTAGCATTTCTACATGTAAATGAAAGACCTCTGACTTACTTCCATCCACACAACTGACAGAAGAGGTTTGTGCGAGGTTCTGTGTAACCTGATGTGATCCACATTCAATACAGGATGTGGCCCCCTGTGAGGGCTGGTAGTAATTCCTGGGGCAGGGCCTACAGGGGACGGCTCCACTAGGTGAGTAATACCCTGCTGAACAGTAATCTACAAAACAGAAGAACAATCTTAGCAAGGATTAGTTAGGCCATTCCAAGTTTTTTCTATGTTTAGCATCCACCCATCTTTCAAAAACCTACCTACCTATTCGCAAAAAACACACAGACCAAAAAAAGAAAACAGACTTCAAAGTAATAAAAGTAACGTCAATCAAATGATTTGATTTCAAAAAAGGATATATTTTCTCCTTTCTAGATCTATATTTTAACAAAATCAAGGTATTAAATGCTTAAAATATACCAAATATGAAAATCTGTAGACAGATAATTACAGGAAATTATAGCATTGAAAGATTTCGACCAGAATAATCAATTTATGATCTCCTGATTTTGTTTGTTTTTTCCCTGATATTGGGTTCAAAAACCAAGGCGCACGCGGATGCTAAACATAGAAAAAACTTGGAATGGCCTTAGTCCTAAAACACAGTAGCAGTGCAGAGGTGTATATTCTGCAGTTTTCAGTAATTTCAATGGTTTGTGTCTGTAATTTGAACTTTTCATCTGTAATTTACTGTTAGCAATACCTTGTCTTAATTTTCTAATGTACATTTCATGACTTTAATTTATAAGATAAGCATGATGTAGTAATAGTAAACAGCTCTAGCAGTGAATTAAGAACATTTGAAAAATAGCAATGAGATTAACCGATTAATGCTGCAATTCTTTATTAACATTTGGTTCTACAACTTTAAAATAATTGAAAATCAGCAAAACTAGAAATCTGACCAGTCAGCAAGGGCCCCGCTGAGGGGTAGAAATATAAGGGTGCAGATTAGGGGATGAGAATTTTACTTGATTAAAAAAATTTAAATATATATAAAGAATAAGTAACAGCAACTGCTAAATATTCAACAACCTGTAAATAGCATCCTTATATTTACATAAGGCAGTAAAAAACATCATATCTATAATAACTAAATTAAATGTATATTTAAAGAAGAATGAAGCATGAATGCCAGCCTTCAGTGAATGCAAATATCACCGAGGCTTGACCTTAACTTCAAAACAAATATCAGTTGCAGACAAAGGTGTTAATTAATCTTAAAGTGACAGAAAGATAACCCTCTAAAATGTTCTGCAACCCAGCAAGATAATCAATCCCAGGGGATTAATTATACTGCTCTCTCAACCTTTTCTTCCAAGTTTACAATAAGAACTTTTTCAGCAATGATAGAATGAGGTTATTATCTGAATACCTGTTAAAATAAATACATGTAGTATTCTTGAATTTACATAAGGCAGAAAAAAGAAAAAAAAATCATAATAAAAATGATATCTTTATCTACATGTATATCTTGCTTTTAGAATTCAATAAAATCATAACTCACTGTGTATTTTACCAAAATAAAGTATGAACATTATTTAAATCCACATTTCAGAGAATGTAAACATCATTCACAATTGACCTTAACTTCAAAAAAACTTCATTTGCAGACAGAGGTGTTAATTAATCTTAATGTTGCAGATAAAGATAAATGCTTTGGATTTTCTTCAAGAGGAAAGTTAATTAATCCCAAGAGACTCATTGCAGCCTTTCATAGTTTACAATAGGAACATTCTCAGCAGTTATCTCTCTTTGCCGATTCACTCTTATATAAAGTTAAGGAATCTACCCCACCACCCCAGCTCCAAACCGGATGACATAGAGACCCAAACTTAGCATCAAAATATGTCTTACTGACTATTCAACCAACATACCAAATTTGAACTTAATTGGTCAACCCTAAAAAAAGTTATTAGAAAAAAACAGAAAATTTGTGGACGGAAGAATGACAGACGGACAGACAGACAGACGGACAGATGGACAGACAGACAGACAGAGTGATTACTATAGGGCACCCGCAAATCCTTGCGGGGCCCTTATAATAAAGGGCTAAAAGTTGCTATGTTCTAATATTTTTTCTTTTGATCTATTAATTATAATTGTCTCCATATTTACTGCAGAAGTTTGTAAAATATATTTAATAAATGCAAACTTATCAAAAACAAATAGAGTAAAATATGCTCAAATATTACCTAAACATTCCGCTTTGGAAGCTGAGCCAGTTTTAGTAGCCAGTGTGTTACTAGGACAAGTTGTACAGGACTGACCATTAGAGGAGTATGTATTAACGCCACACTCAGAACAGGGAGCCTGTCCACTAGCGGACACAAAACCAGGAGGACAGCTCACTGAAAGAAAGAATCTGGTACCCTGGTAGTTCTAAATGTTTTAAAATACAATTTATACATACACTCATTTGAAATCTCTCACTCTTTAAATATTACCATATCTTCAAATAAATTATAATATATACATATCTTTATTTCAAAATTAATTATAATACCAATAATAAAGACTTTTAGATTCTATGAATCTTACAATAACAGTCCTCTTGACGTGATAGACCAGTCCTCCTACTATTGGTGTTGTTTGGACAACTGAAGCAGTTGTCAAAGTTTCCTCTATCCAGGTAAGTTCCAGATGGGCAGGGGGTACATGTCCTCTTGTCCTTAGTGTAATACCCTAAAGGACAGGTCACTGCAGAACAAATAATTCCATGTTTATAATAAAAACAACAGTCAAAATTAAAATACAGTAGGCCATAATGTCCACCTGATTCAATGGACAATTTTCATAAACAAATATATGGCTATATGAAAACCCTGGCAACTGTTTAAATTCCATAATTTTAGCAATTTTAAATAATTTTGTTCGTTTGTTGTTTAACATCCCTCTCATGATTTTTTCACTCATATGGAGACACCACCACTTGTCGGTGGAGAGCTACAAATTTTGATTATGCTCGGCACTCAGGGCCATTGAGCAGCGAGGGATTTTTTTCATGCCAGCACCTACTGCAACACGGGACCTCAGTTTATATGGTCTCATCCGAAGGATCGGTCTCCATGTCCCACAGTGGGATTCAAACCCGCAACGTAAAGATCAACTCCTTTCTCCACGACTCAAGAGCAGACGCTCTACCACTGTGCCAAGTGAGCAACAATTTTAAATAATTACAATGAAACTTAAAATTGTTATCTTGTTGTCCTTGCAGATGTTTTTATATTTCTGTGTAAAACTTTGACCACATATTGCAGCACAGCCCTTAGCCCAATTAGGGGACCAAGATTTTAACAAACTTAACAAGTGTCAAGGGAGTGTTTGCATGTTAATATAACTAATTGTACCATTTTGTAAGGAAGCTTTTAAATAATTTTTGGGTTTTTTTCCTGTTTCAGTGGTTCTTAAGGAGATTTTTAAAGATTTTTCAAAGACTCCACCATATTGTCACTATTTATTGATTACATACCCTCAATTGAGACTTGACCCTTCATTGAAATGAATTTCCTTTCCCAAGGATGCTTTGCAAATAGTTTGGTTGAAAATGACCTGGTGCATGGTTTTGGAGATGAAGTTGAAAATGTGACTGAATAACAAAAGACTGACTAGACAGACAGATAAACTCTCATCAGAAAAGCTCACTGGAGCCTTTGGCTACAGTGAGCTAAAAAGTAAAGGCAAATGTTTATGATAAACATTAATTTTACAACCATTCTTTTTTAAAGAATATATACCACAGTATGTTTTGCCCTCAGTGTTATTTCTCTGTGTCCCCTGGTAACCAGAACAAAGGAAGTTGGAGAACTGAGTTTGCACAAACTGCTGGTTGGTTGATGCAGGGCAGGATCCTGATGAATAAAGCTGATACATTGTTCCTACAGAGCTACTCCTTGTCATGAATGCATTTTCTATTTTCTGGGCACAAGAAGTGTAGGCCAAATCCATCAATCCAGATGGGGCAATTTCCATGTTTATGGTCACAAAGACTGAGTTCTGAAAGATAAAGCATCTAGAAATTAGACTTTATGTAGTCACACGTGATAATATATACCCAATCATTCCAACAAGATACATATAACAAAGCACATAAATCAAAATCTTATTTGAAATTTAAACAATTATCATACAGATGATGGTAAGGAATAGAGTAATAATTGCCTTGCTCAGTACAATGGTCGCAAACTTACTGGTGAAGACCCCTCATTGTAGAAAACTTGGAATCGTGGGTAGTTGTTGTCCTGAGGGGTGATGATAATGATACTGTAATTGGATCCCGTCTGACAGAGGGTCTGTAACTGAGAGGTCAGGGTGTCCCACTGGGTGTTGAGCTGAGACTGGTACACTGAGGTACAGGATGTGTCCACTAGTGCCCCCATCAGGTACTGTAGGAGGAAACTTTGTCTGTAGACTGTACTGGTATACTCTACAAAATTGTACCACTCAGATTAGTCTATGTATTAAATCTTCAACTGGTAATATCAGAAATGTTGTCTATAACCTATTTTTAGCATAAACACTGGGCTCTAGTCTGCCTAATCTTATCTATTTTTTTTAAAAAACGTTTTAACTTAATTTAAGGATTAGGTGATAAGGAGTAAAATAAAGTCTTAGCTGCACTGACTGTCTTACCCTGACATGTAGGAGCAGCTCTGTCCCAATCTCCACCACTGAAGCAGGACACAGTGACAGATTTTCTGTTTATGTCCTCAGCAAACACATATCCTGAGTCACAAGTAAACACACAATCTATCCCTGCATTTCCTGTCTTCTGAGAGCAGACCTTCTGGCCATGTGTAATAGAGAGGGTCCAGGCCTGGCACTTTGAAGCTACACAAACAAAATTGTACCAGTAACTTTAACACAAAGAAAAACAGAATTCAATCTTTACTATTATCTTGAGGGTCTGCCCTAGCTTAACTGTGCTAAAATAGACAACTTCTGAATCTATGCATAAAACATATAATATTCTACCTGATAAAATTCGATTTACAGTATCACATTCTAATTACTTTCACTTGAGCAGTTTGACACACGGGTAATCTCTGCATACACACAGGACAAAATAACACAACCATGCAATACCTTCAACCTTGACCTGGACAGCACAGGAAGCTGTATTCCCTGATGGATCAGTGGCTCTGATTTGAGTGGTCCTAACTGTATTGATGTCTGCAGCAGTCAGCCTCAGTATCCCTGTGTTAGTTGATGTCTGGGCTCCTTGTTCTACACTGCTGATAAAGTCCAAGGGGTCAACAGTCACCAAACCAGACTCATCTGGGATCAGGATAGTCCTGGATGGTTTACATGACAACAGGGGAGGAAACTCATCTAAAAATAAATAAAAGGAAAGATTTCCTGAAAGAGGTCATTTTAAAATGTGAAAGTAACTTGTTTTTTTTCTCTGTACTTCATACACTTACTTGAGTCATAAAAATGACAGTCACTTTTAATGAGGTTCATTCATATAGCTTTACACTCATAAGTTTCAAAGACATACATTGAATAGATCTTTCTTACCTTTAATCTTTACCAAAAAAGAGCAAGTGATGCTATTTCCCTGTTGGTCAAATGCTGCATATGTAATCAGTGTCTCTTGTGTAATTGCCTGACCAGGTTGATAGTTAAAGGGAGTCACCAAAACTCTCTAAAAGCAAAAAATCATCTATGAACAAGTAGACTGTACTAAGAAACCAGAAAATGCAAACAAAGCAGTACTATTACAGTACATATCTCAATGGAGGCTGGAACTCTTACAGCTATGGCTCCACTGTTGTCAGAAAAGACAGGAATGGTAGAGTTTGCTCCTTCATATTTGGTTACTGTGATATCCAGGGATGGGCATTTGGTCATTACTGGACTCTGAACATCTACCAGAAGAATAAAAAAAAACCCAAACACTGACATTATATGCTTTAATAAACATCACTCAGTGAGTAACTTTGCTTTGAATACGAGTTTTTGTAAAAAAATATGTCACATTCTGATGGATATTTGAAGGTGATATTTTGATAATGATTGTGATTATACAAATTATTGAAGTATGGCGACTTTGCCATGTATTGATCCTATTCTTACATCTCCCTGCTTATACACTGACCTACACACTCATGAGTGACCTTCACATCAGAAGAGTTCCACCTCAGTTGACCGTTGACCTCTGAACACAGGATGGGGTAGATGTCCTTTGCTCTGTAGCCTGCTCTCTGACATGTGTAATATACAAGGCCATCCTCTTCATGGGAAGCTGTGTAGGAATATCCCCCAGAGGGGTAGCCGGGATCAGGGCATACACCATCTATAGTGGAAGGGAGTATAAAAAGTTATGGGGAAAGAAAACAATCAAAAATGTTTTCTAGCCAGGTAATGGTTGAGGAATGTATATGAGATTGACCTTTCAAGACCAAATACCGTACCTTTTTAGTGGAATTTTTAGAGAGACCCAAGTTTAGCCTTAAATTTAGATAGAAGTAATTTTCAATTTGGCAACGTATATTGCAGGATAACTCCTACCTCCTTAGTGCTGAATGAATTGTTGGTGACATGCAATTTTAATTAGCAGGGGCTGACAAATCCCATTATCCAACACCCAGGGCTTGTGAATTTTAAGGAGGGCAAGTGAATTTTCAATAGGCACTTGTCCGTGGGCAAGCGACTCAAAAAATTCAACCAGTAAATATTTATAAGTAAGTCAAAAGTTTTACATGAAATCGAAGTTATTTTGTAATAAGAATTATCTTTATCCTTATTTTATAGTTTTCTGCTGGGACAAGTAAAGACTGAGGTAGGGCAAGAGAAATTTGACCATGCATTTGCCCATGGACAGGTGCTTGAAAAGTCTATTTCGCAGCACAGTTAACGCTACAAAAAGGGGGCGCAAGGTATGGTTTCAATACAAATCTTGCCCTGTGTTTTTGTTAAAAATAAAAGTGATATAAAAAATTAAAACTCATGCTTTCTGAATCATTGAAATTCCATGCAGAAAAAACATACAAATCATTTTTCTCACATGACCTTCTAAATGCTAATTGTGACGTCATAAACTTGTGCATTTTCCCGTATTTTCTTAAAAAGTTGCAGAAGACACCAATTTTCAATGGAATTTTCTTTCAGATAATATTGTCCACAGGCATCGCCCACAAAGATTTTAAGATATGTTAATTTTCAAAGAATTTTACACAACATATCCGAAAATTAAAGTGGGCGACGGCTGTGGACACTATTTTCTTAGGGAAAATAACCCTTGAAATTGGTCATTTTGAGGCTTTTTCTGTTTAAAATAGAGAAAAGTATCAAATTAATGACGTCATATTTCTAGAATGGTACTCCTTCATGCCATATTCTTTATTGGTTAAGCACTGTCATATACTCAACTAATATTTAAGCCAGTTTCATAACTTTTTGATAACATTAAATTTTTAGGGCAGAATAAAGCTAAAACCGTACCTTCTTCTATGTACGGGAAAAGTTAACTATGACATCATACAAAACCAACAATTCTTAAAAATACTAGAAAATGAAATGATTTGCTATTTTTAACTATAGGAAACCATCAAACTACATCTAAACTTACTATTACATGCTGTTTTGTCTTTAGTTAAATTCCACATAGCAAGGTATAAACAAGTCACTGATCGCGATGCACTTGTCGATGTGACATCATTTCGTAAAACCTGACGCAGTTTGTATGCAGTGAGAGGCAGATCAAGAGATATTTTAACACTGAAAAATGTATCCTATAATTAAATAAAATATTATTTAAAGATATTTAAGAGGCCATTAACTTGGATGCCATGTCTTCTTTAAGATTTTATTTATATATATTCCGTATATTTCCTATTTAATTGATACTACCGTATATTTGTATGCAAGTACATGGGAGGATAATGTAAGGGTCTTAATAAATCGATCTTGTGCAAGGGCATACACTCAATGGATCACAGTAAGCTTTTACATATAAACTCTAGAAGTATTAAGGTATCTGAAAAGTGCTGCGATCCTAATGAAATCTTGAAAATGAATTAATTATATCTATATTTAATGCCGTTGACCAGCAAAAAATACAGAATGCGGTCATATAAATATGATTTTAACAATGAAATAGCAGAATCTATAGAGGATTGCAGCACTTTTCAGAAACTTCGATATGTGTTGAAAATATTTATACTCTAAATTTGGAATTTTAACTTGATTATGCCCTTGCACTAGTGAAATTTATAGGTGACCTCAATATTGCCAGTATATGTGTTATATCACGTGACTGCCGCATCACGTGATAAGTCTAAATATAAAATCTTATCGTCTTCAATATGTAGTTATTAACCATAATTACATTTGTCGGAATTCAATAATGTACTGAAAAGAATCGCCATTCTGATTAAGAATATCTTTTTAATCACAAAAAATGCCGATATTTCCATTGCGCACCTTAACTGTACTGCGTTGTCAGCCGCTGATTAGTGATCTCACCCTCGCTTATAATGTAAAACTTGAATCCTTGCTAAAAATTTGGTATTCTTTCAAATAGACAAACAAGTTTTATATACAGAACTGTGTGTACTTCCTAGTGGGGGGGGGGGGGGCATAGACCAATACTTATTACTATTTGTGTATCAGAGGTATATAAGCCATCCCCAAACTTCTGAAGGCAAGTACACCTCAAGCATGAATGTATCATGTTTTCACACAATTTGTACTTTCTTATGACCAATTATATGCTATGGCTTGAACTTACAACTAACAAACTTAAATTCCAATGCTCTACCAGATGAGCTTAACCCACTAGACAGTGATAGTAGCTACATGGGCAGCTACCTATTAAACAACACATGACCACTAATGACTTCAAAATTGATTTCACTATGATGTAAAGGGTAAAATCTAGTATAATTAACAATAGAATGACTTACTGGTGCAGTGAAGGTCACCAAAGTCCCAGCGTCCATCTTTTGCACAGGTGACCACCGACCCTCCTTGTGAAGAGTTACCTGCCCTTGTGTACACTGACCGACAGGTAAACTCAAAGGTACATCCATAAAGTGAACAGCTGTACAGGTAAGGGTTAGATCCCTTTACAGACTGAGGTGTTCCACAGTTCACTTCTGAAGTGTGTGGTACAAAAAAAAGATTTTAAAACAAAGAAACATGTTTGTTGTTTTTCATGAATAGGTAAGATAGATTTAACTCTAAAAATAAATATTTCCTTTATAGATTTGCCTCTTATTCTGCCCTGTATGGCATATTACTAAATTTGCTGGAATTTCAAATCAATACAAGAAATTCCATTTTTTAGTTAGATTATAGAGAAATTCTCCTCTGAATCCATCTTCTCATGTTTCTTAATACAAATATTTACAATACTGTTTTCTCTTCCACTAAAAAATTATTGCTTTTTGTCAAAACTGATAAATGAAAATTTTTCACTTTGTACAAGTTGATCTTAAATCTCAAGCTATTATCAGAAGCCTTACTAGGACAAGAAAATGGATCCCCCTCAGTTTGGTACCTCCCAGAATTAACATTATAGGTACACTGCCTCCTCCTTGATACAATGTTCCCATCAGGCATGTCACACTGGAGATGATAGAACTGTCCGTAGGTCACGGAAGTGTTTGGGAGGACACCTGGATCACTGGTCACATCCAGGGGGCATCTCACAACTGGAAAATTAAGTTTTCATTCCATTAACTTTTTGCATATACTGGTAATTAAATTAAATTCAAATATTCAAAAAACAATCTTTAGGACATTCTATAAGCATATTATAAACTAATCATTTCACATAGTGTTACAACAAGAACAAGTTTTATACAAGATTATTTTACAGAACCTTTCCAAAGATTCATATATTATCACCAATATTAATCAACTGACATGCAGGAACAATCTTGCAAAGCAGCAAAATAATTAATTTGAGTAAAATATTTAATTTGAGTAAAATAATTAATTTGAGTAAAATAATTAATATGAGGGTCTTACTCTCACAGATGGGTTCTATATCAGACCATGAGCCATCGATCTGACAGCTTATTTTGTAAGTAGCTAGTCCTGTTCCTTTGATCATGTAACCTAGGTTACACATGTAGGTGACCTCATCTCCGTAGAAGAACTTGGTTTCTAGGGTCAAGGCCAGACCATTAGGAATGGAGTAGGTTGGAACAGAACACTCAATAGCTGATAAAAAAATTTAACGTGCATAAATTTACTCAAGTTCTATAATAAAATATTGTTAACATTTTCTTTTTAGAAAACCATTAATTTTTTTTTATCAGATGGTATCATTTGAATCCATATTCATGTTTTGAGAACAAACACTTTCGAATGTTGATCACTGAATATGACCACATTTTGTTATACCATTATTTAGTGACCTACCCACACAAGAATGGTTAATGTGGTAGCGATGATGTGGCTCCAGACCAGTCTCCATGGTGGGGAGGACCAGATCATTCTGCCCATTGTAGGTGTACAGTTCCTGGCCCTGGGGGCAGGTACAGTAGTAGGACCCTGGTGTGTCCACACACCCTCCATCACAGAAACCATTACTCTCCTGGCATTCATCAATATCTGAAATCATAGTCTCACTGGTTACTAGGACATGTAATAGGTAATGGATTTCGTCCAAATTATCTGGAATTACTTCCCTCGAGTGCACTCTTTTTCTTGGAAGTTTAATATAGCTCAAGTATCACAATATCTTGGGTATAAATCACTGTATAAAGAAATACTTTGCATCAAGAAAATGTATGTTTAATGTGCTACTGGATGAGCATTGGGGTCAATCCTACAGGGTCTACAGGTCATAGCCCAGGGGTCACATGAACTAGAAGTATGCATGTAAAACTTTTTGATGGGGCATGACTTTTTGGGTGCAATTTTTCTCTCCTTTCTTCCTTCCTTTTTCTTTGTCATCTTCTATTGAGTTTTCCCTTGATTGTGTGCCTGTCCATTAAGCAGACAAACTATACCGGCCAAAGTTTGAAGGATATATGGAAAGTCAAAATGATGCTTTCATGAAACCCCTATGCCTGTCACATATTTGAGGATCTATAAAATTAGACAGAATAAAGGCAGAGCTTTGTAATACATGCATTAAGAACTGATGGAATAGAACTTCCTCTAACAATCCATTCTAAACACGTTATATTAATTATATCCTCCTCTGCAGCCCCAGCCCAGAGCTCAGGGGGTCATAATCACGTGTTTTTGGCCATTACACATTTTTAGCCAGGCTCATTTCTCGTAGAGCAATAGACAGCTTCTGTCACAGTGTTCAATGTACAGAATATGCTGCTTCCTCGCCACCAAATCCAATTTACGAGGTAAAGTGTAGTACTTATGCTCAGCCGCTTTTGAGACAATTTAATATGGACACTATTAATGAATTAAACAAAGTAAACTGAGTAATTTTCTAAACAAATTAACATTAATGGTAATGTACTTCCTTCCATTTTCTTTGATTAATCATCTGTTTTAAATATGCAAAAGGTTTTTATCAGGTCCCCGTCTGTGTCATATTCTATAAATAGTGGTTCTATTACCAGGCTGTAACACTAATGAAGGGAGCACAACCTCCCCACTGAAGACTCATCAAATGTTTGACCTTGCTGCATCAGTATGTTTATTTACTTCTGTACGCGGCATATAAGACCCCAGAACAATGCATGTGATAAAATTTTATTATTTTATTTTTCAAACATTTTTTTGCTATATGCCATAGAAATATTCTTTTTTTGTGTTACATATAACCTTCCAGTTTCTGAACTTGTTGTTATTTATCTGCTATTCACCCAAACTCAATAAATTGGTGCAATTCAAGATATTTTTTCTTCAAAAATCGACTTTTGATTATCCATCTGCTCAATAACATTTTTGGGTAGATCAACATATCAAGTTTGTATTCCCAAAGATTTTTCAAGTTAAGTTCATTGGTTAAGAAATTACGTCAATTTGAAATAAAGGTGTATTGTTGATAATTTTTTGCTGAGAAACAAGTGTTACGTATCATAGTTTCGAAGTTTTCCTTTAAGATTTTAGGATGAAATAATATAGATTGTAATAAATCCTCAATGTCAAAAGCAAATCAGTCTACTTACTTTCGTGATAAGACAAAAAAGGTCAACTGTCATAATGTATTTTATGAATTGATGCAGTCAAATTGTTGGGTTATATTTTTTTTCTTCAAATGAATTTGACATATCTCTAACATTTTATATTTCAAATATGCCACAAGAAAAATCAAAACTGCCCAGGGCAAATGGGGGTTCTAAATAAATAGAGGATCCATTTATAGAAACGTTAAATAAAATGTTGTTCATGAATTATCATCTTGTTCTTATTTATACTTTCAAATGCAACAACGTTCGTATGTAACGAATGTTTCATGAGAAGTAATATTTACTGTTTTTAAGATTAATTCCAACAAAATAGACGAATTCATGTGATGTAATTTCTGCTATATTTGTGCCATGGTATTGAAAACATCAAAAGAAATCATAATTTGAACTGTATCATATATATCATCGTGTCATATTTTCCTTGAACTGTACTATATGTACAAACGGATAAGAGATATATGTAAAATTGTCTGTAAAGACATTTTAACAGAACCTAAAATAATGTAAATAACAATTTTTCTGATAACTTTTAGCTTGAAATCATCTAACCGTCAATGGAAACTTCAATCCTTCATATTTCTGCTTGGGTCAATGCCATAGTTCAACTAAAATAAAATGCTGAAATGTGTTACTTAACATAAAATGCGAGTTTAACAGTATCAAAATTGTAGGAAGAAATAAAAAAAAACCTGATGTAGATTCAGAATAGAAACTCAAGCCTTTGTTTAATCAATATCATATGATTCAAACTAAAAATGTCTTTCAAAATAATTTCAATTAATGTTTTTCTTCCAAATTAATGTGTGTGTTCAATAATGCGTCTCTAGAATCAGTTTATAATAAAATTTATGCAACTTAAGCTTAAAATGATACAAATCAATCAATAAAGTTTACATTCCAACAATTAGTCATGAAAGAAATTCTGTAAATATTGTTGAAATTTTCATATATGATTCGTTAAAAATTTCGTAACATTCGTTACCTTCAGCAATGAATGTTTCAACACCTTTCAAGACTAATAGAGGACATTCAGGTGTAGATTGAAACTGGTTGTACATAGTTGTTGTCGGTTGTTATATGTTTATTAACAGTTACATACTAATTCATTCCATTTGATTCATTGTTATTGCATTCTAGAAAACAAACTTACCAACACTGTCTAGACTTTAGAAAAAAATCATAAAAAGGCAGTACCGTACTCCAGATGTCAAAATTTGAATACTGGTGCAAAATATTTGACCACGTATATATGCAGAAGATGTTTGAACTCATAAATCATTCTTTTTTAAGAGGTTTGGTAATGAATGTTTCGACAACAGTTGTTTCATTTAATCATTTTCTCTTAAATAGTAAGCTAACAATAAGACATTGTTAAATCACGGTTGGAGCATGGAATACAGTTCTAGGATAGAAGAAAAAGAATCACATGTTTAACCATGATATCGTCCTATTTCATCTATTAAACTAATACAATGAATGTTTCATGCCTATCCATACGCATGTAAGATAGGAAAATAGAATGTACCAGGGTAATTTCAAAGTATTGGTAACGTATACAAAGCTTTGCACCATTTATTTTAGTTTTCAAGAAGTTTCCTTCAAAATAAAACATTTTCCAATCTTACAGGCACACAATACAGGATACTTATACTATATTAAATGTCACAATCGGTTTTTATTCTGTTTCTGGCGACATGGGGATATCAGATCAAATTTTGGTAATATATTTGTGATTATGCTCAATAATTTATTAAAAGCATTTTACAAATAAATGTTTTGATGACATATGCTATCTCATTTAAGATTGAACTGTTATCTCTACAAAAAGTAGCCATTTAAGTGTAATTATTCGATGTTGGCGACAGTAACGTACGTTTCAAAAAATCATTATATGCCAAATAAAATATCTCAATATGATTTTTTCACTCCATTTTTGTATATTTGCCTTAAAGGTTACATATTCATGCATTCATTCAGAAAGTATTTCCTATGACATTTCATTATTTTTTTACGCTTAACCCCCAGCGACATCATTTGCACCATTTTATTGAGCTTGAGTGTATTATGATGTATGTATCATGTAAAATGGTCTTTATTCAATACTCTGTAAATGAGCCCAGCTCTCTGTACTTCTGAGTACTTTGATTATGCTAAGGCTATGAAATTCATTAATTACTGTCTTTTTAAGGACATACACTATGTAGTTTGAACTTTATTGTCTTTTTTCCTGGAGTTGAAGAGTTCCAATACTTAAAGAAACTGTGTGCTACATTTTAATGTCTATATATTCTGTTGTACACTTCTTCTTAAACAAGTTTGGATAAACAAAAGATCTGGAATGTATGTTTAGTAATTTTTGTATATTTTTCTTTGAATTATACAAGAATTTTCATCAATTGATATCCTTTTAAAACCCCTGGTAATGCATGCTGATTTTTGTCTATGAACATCTGATGGCACTATAAACTTAAATTAATAATATCTTGAAAAATTATCAGTAGGTAAGGTACGTTGCATATGTCCTTAAATTTTTGTCACACTCAGTGACCAGTGCTCCTTAACATTCCCTTATTCACCAACAAAATCAGCTATTCTGATATCCTGTGCTACAATGTGTCTATCGTTACCATCCTTGTCTTTTAAGCCAGCAGGTTTAATGTCTCCAATACCAGAGTTTCTGTACAATTGGCAATCACAAAATACTACGTAATCTATGGATTTTGAAAACTATTTTGCATTTATCTATGAACTAAAATGCTTACTTTCACACCTGTTGTTTCTGCTTCCAGTAAGTTTATAGCCCTCCGTACATGAACACATATACCCCCCTATTGTGTCCGTACAAATCTGATCACAGACTGTTCCATTAGAGATGTTACACTCATCAATATCTGAAACCAATATTCAAAATCAATCATTATTTCGATGTATATAATTTGATCTTCATAGATTAATTTCATAGAATTAAACATCAAACTACCATGCAAGTTTTCTAATTTTAACATTAATGATTTTTCAAAACTATCTTAAACAGCTATGGTTACAAAATATGAGCTTTAATGGTTACTTCTGTTAGTCTGATATCTTTAGAGTGAAATTAAATTTTAATACTCTTTGATGAATTTAAAATATAGTTAACTAAGCATTCATTAACCTTTTTAAAAATTCAAAATAACAAAATCTAAAGATATATAACTACATTTAAATTGTAATTTCCTTACTTATACATAATGGAGGATCATCTATTCCACATTTGTATTCTGGTTTTCCATGAATTTCAAATCCTGAATCACAGGTCACTTGAATTATCTCCCCTTGTCCCACATTACCAGACTTGTCTATAGCTCCCTTGTTCACGGGAGAAGAGAGACAGGGAATTTCTGAAAAATAAGCATTCAAAGTTGTAAATCTTCAAACCTCATTGCATTCACATTTAAAACTATGGTTTGGACCTTTATAATTGCCATTTTTAAGTTATTTTCAAACTGCTTCCCCACTTTGTACTCTTTAGAAATTGAAACAAATTCTAGTGTTTAAAATCATGTGAATTTCAAAGTAGTACATGCAAGTACAAGTAGAAATTTCTCTTGTATGTGACAGTTTTGGTGATCCAAATACCAAAGTTCAACTAGATAGTAATGCATTGCTCTGAAAGTTCCAGAAAGGGGCAAATAAGGGCCCTCATCATGAAATCATTATCATTAAGTCTTCTCTGTGGTTTTAATCTGTACATGCATGCACACCTCACCAACTTTATAAGAACTTTCAGCCAATCAAATGCCTGACTTACTATGACAGGTGGGAGGATTATGAGACCAGGCACCATTGTCACACCTGATGACTGATTGTCCCAGCACCTCGTAGTCCCGGTCACAAGAATACTTGATCACAGAACCATGGCTGACTCCATCCCAAGTGAGAGTACTCCTTTGTCCTCTGAACACAGTCACAGGTAGGGAGGGGCAAGAAGAAGCTGTAAGAGATCAAGCTACAAATACAGACACAGCACAGTGCATATCAATAGTTAGTTTGTTCCTTATGAAGCAGAATGAGGAAGAAAAAATTGAATGGAAATAAAAAAAAATTGGTTTTTCTTTTTCAAATTCTTTAAAGGCATTAAAAATGGTTAATGTTGGCTTATATAAAAAAACCTAGCTCTCGACTGATCTCCTCATGCCCTTCTGTACACCTACATGAAACTGAATGAAACTTTTTAGGACATCAACAGTATCTTCTGAATTCTAGATTTAATACTTAGTACCTACTTATAAAGATAACACTAACCTTGACATGTGGGGTAGTTTCCCACAATCCAATACTCTGACACTAGACACTAACCTTGACATGTAGGAGGAGTTTCCCACACTTCATTACTCTGATACTAGATACTAACCTTGACATGTGGGAGGAGTTTTCCACACTCTATTACTCTAACACTAGATACTAACCTTGACATGTGGGAGGAGTTTCCCCACACTCCATTACTCTGACACTAGACACTAACCTTGACATGTGGGAGGAGTTTCCACACTCTATTACTCTAACACTAGATACTAACCTTGACATGTGGGAGGAGTTTCCCCACACTCCATTACTCTGACACTATACACTAACCTTGACATGTGGGAAGAGTTTTCCACACTCTATTACTCTGACACTAGATACTAACCTTGACATGTGGGAGGAGTTTCCCACACTCCTTTACTATGACACTAGACACAAACCTTGAAAAGTGGGAGTTTTTCCACACTTCATAACTCTGATACTAGATACTAACCTTGACATGTAGGAGGAGTTTCCCTCACTCCATTACTCTGACACTAGACTCTAATCTTGACATGTGGGAGTTTTTCCACACTCCATAACTCTGATACTAGATACTAACCTTGACATGTAGGAGGAGTTTCCCTCACTCCATTACTCTGACACTAGACTCTAATCTTGACATGTGGGAGTTTTTCCACACTCCATAACTCTGATACTAGATACTAACCTTGACATGTGGGAGGAGTTTCCCACACTCCTTTACTCCGACACTAATCTTTAACCTTGACAAGTGGGAGGAGTTTTTCATACTCCATTACTCTGACACTAGATACTAACCTTGGCATGTGGGAGGAGTTTCCCACACTCCATTACTTTGACACTAGACTCTTACCTTGACATGTAGGAGGAGTTTCCCACACTCCTTTACTCTGACACATGATTGTGAGCGAGTTGATTGTTGAGTATCCTATCTTACAGTGGTACATAACTCTGTCTCCTCCAAAAACGCCTGTACTGTTCACAATGTAACCATTGTCAACAACTGGAGGGGGACCACAAAATGCATCTTTAAAACAAACAAGAGCTGATATTAATTCTAAAATACACAAGTATTCAAATTCATCATTGTATAACTTGTTTCATCCTTGTTTCTTGTATTCTACAATATTTCTTTCATATATAGTCTTTTTCTACCCCACATATCTGATATATATAACCATGTGAAGTTGCCACACTTACGTGCACAGATAGGGATGATTTTGTCATAAGTTCCTCCCTCCTGACACCTCAGTGTGACCTGGTTTTGTCCTGTGTACGGCTCTTGTAAGTAATACCCTGTCCTACACTGTACAGTGACCATAGTCTGGGGGAGGATCTCCGAGATCCCCGGACTTACTTTCAGGGAGGAGGAATTCATATTTCTACAACCTGTATTACAAAACATGTTACTCATGATGGTTTCACATGTACTGCTCACACATAAATGCTACACAATATATGAATCATATGACACAATAAAACAAGAGGCCCAAGGGCCTTAATGGTCACCTGAGTACAATACAACAATTTAGAGGATCCATAGAGTATTAAAATGAAATGAAAGGTGAAGCTTTGTTGCCCAAAAGCAAGAAAAATAGGGTGATCAGGATCAACAAAATAATTAGTCTACTATTCATTAACAGTTCATAAATTAGGTTCTAATCTGTTCCCCATTTATCACTATCACCATACAGCATATTAACAAAATATCAGTGCTTTTGTACTATTTTAATTCCTTGTTGTAACCTCTTACATTGGCCTCTCTTGGTCTTTGATGAACATTTAAGTTATTTTTGTCTCATTTTTATTTATCTGTTACTTACAAGTCCACATGATCATTAAAACTAAGAAAATACTTTTTGTATTATACAATAAAAATTCTTGCATAATTCTCTTATTCTGTTAATTTTTCAAGTACATTATTTACAGTGATTAATTATCAAAAGTAAACGGCAAAGGGGAATAACTCCTCTCAGTAGAATGCCAATTAATTGAGCCCTGGCTAGGACCAGAACACTTGATCAAATGGTCCAGATGTTCAAAAATCTGGTAAAAATACCCTTCCTTATTACAACTTTTACACTTTTTGCCTCTGATATGCCCAAGTGCAGAGAAGATTTTTAAAGGAAATAATGCATTTTCACTACACCTCCCCCCCCCCTTCACCACCGAGAAACACCAGAGCCTCTCACCCTGGGACAGAAGTTTCAAGTTTGCTCATCATAAGTAATCACTTTGTTTAACTGCTTAACATTAAGGAGCAGACAGGATTATTTAATAGAATTAATGCATTTTCACTACATTTTCAACAGCCCCACCCTTATACCAGCACATCTGACCCAGGGGTCATGCAATTCATTACTCTGGAAGAAGCACTCTTGCTCATCATAACTATATACTTAGCTTCTTTGCTTTTTAACCAGAAGCAGAAAAGAATATTTTCAAAGAAATTTTAATTTTTCACTATATAATCAAAAGAGCCCCCCCCCCCCCCCCACCTTTTGACCAGAACCCTTGACCCTGGGGCCATGAAATTCACAATTTTAGAAGAGGCATCCTTGCGTATCATAACAATGTACTTAGTTTGTTTAAATAGTACCCAGGGGCAGAGAAGAAGATTTTCAAACAAATAATTCACCTTCACTGTAGGAGCTATATAGCCCCACCCTAGCACCAGAACCCCTGTCCCTGGGGCGATGAATTTCACAATTTTGGAAGAGGTGTCCTTGCTTATCATAAAAATGTACTTAGTTTGTTTAACTAATACCCAGAAGCAGAGAAGAAGATTTTTAAAGCATTAATGCATTTTTCACTATATAATAAATAGAGTCCCGCCCTAACATCAGAACCCCTGACCCAGGGGCCATGAAATTCACAATTTTGATAGAGTCACTCTTGCTTATCATAACTATGTATTTAATTTGTTTAAATAATACCCAGGAGTAGAGAAGAAGATTTTCAAAGAAATAATGCACTTTCACTATATGATCTATATAGCCCCCCCCCCCCCCCCCCCCAGCACCAGAACCCCTTACCCTGGGGCTATGAATTTCACAATTTTGGTAGAGCCACTCTTGCTCATCATAACTATGTATTTCATTTGTTTCAATAGTACCAAGGAGTAGAGAAGAAGATTTCTAAAGAAATAATGTACTTTCACTATATGATCTATATACCCCCCCCCCCCCCCCAGCACCAAAACCCCTGACCCTGGGGCAATGAATTTCACAATTTTGATAGAGTCACCCTTGCTGATCATAACTCTGTATCTAATTTGTTTAAATAATACCCAGGAGTAGAGAAGAAGATTTTCAAAGAAATAATGCACTTTCACTATACGATCTATATAGCCCCACCCTAGCACCAGAACCCCTGACCCTGGGGCTATGAATTTCACAATTTTGGTAGAGTCACCCTTGCTTATCATAACTATGTATTCAATTTGTTTCAATAATACCCAGGAGTAGAGAAGAAAATTTTCAAAGAAATAATGCACTTTCACAATATGATCTATATAGCCCCGCCCTAGCACCAGAACCCCTGACCCTGGGGCCATTAATTTCACAATTTTGGTAGAGGGCTCAATGCTTATTACAATCACGTCAACAGTTTGACTGCTTGATGTCCAGGAGTAAAGAAGAAGATTTTTAAAGATTGCATTAATTTTGATGGTTTTAGCCCCACCCCTCAGGCCCCAGGGGGGCAGGGACCATGAAATTCACAAATTTTGTTCCCCTTCACCCATAGATGAAATATCCAAAAATTGGCTGAAATTGGTTCAGCGGTTTCAGAGAAGAAGCTGAAAATGTTCAAATGTTAACACACGACGCACGACGACGGAGGAAAACAGATATCAATAGGTCACCTGAGTGGCTCAGGTGACCTAAAAAAAAAAATAAAACAGTTGCATATAAAGATAACTTAATAAACAGATTAAATGTGGCCTATATTATGGGTATCTGTAAATGATACAGTTTCTTAGTCAATCTTTAAATCTTTTATCTTAGCAGATGCATGCAAATAATTTAAGCAAAACTGTAGCCTGATAAGTTCTTTACCTGCTGTAAAGGATGCGTGGAAACCTTTAGAATTCCCTGTGGCACTGGTTGTCATGGTGATAAATATGGTTCCAGTTTTAGATATGACATCAGATGGGACCATGCTCCCAGTGAATCCCAACCCTGAATGTACTGGGGAGGAAGCTGTATTGTTACCAAGGTATACCTGTCAAAATTATACATTTTAAAATCATATAAACAACCTGTACAAATTTATTTTGCAAGATAAATTGCATGTGTATAAATATTAAATTTCCCAGTTGATATTTATGCATGCTTTAATTTTCATTAAAATAATTCTAGTTATCTCAGATCAGTGCATATATATATTTAAACGCAAAGCAATAAAAGCATATATTGTTTAAGGAATTTTATTGGGGCATAAACTGGGCATGGCTGTAGATCTTGAGACACAGATGAGTGATTATCTATGCTATTCAAGTGTCTCTCGCAAAGCAATGGATGGGTCAGACCAACACAAGGTCAAAGTTCTTAAACAAAATCTTTCAACAAATGGTAAAAACCTTGACCTTGGAAGGTGCAGATGTCAAGTAATTATTTATATATTTGTCTGGACTGTGTACTTTTAAATTTATATACAGTTACATGATCAAAGAGGATGAAAAGATGTTTATTGTGGAAACTGGGGCAAACTCGGTATAGAATCAAAATAAAGAAAATTTTTATCACCCCTTGTTGATGCTGGATAATTGGAAAATCCAACCGAAGTGCCCTCAAGCTTATATTTTACAAGGGCAATAATAAGTTGAAATATTTACAAGGATGATAACCAAAATTAATTTGCAAATTAATGAGTTAATCCTAGTTCATAAGCAAATCATTCATGTACTTCCATCAACAACATATCTAATTCATAGCAAATTAGCTGAGAATAGTAATGCAGGTTGTAACATACTTTAGTTAAGAAAATTTTAATCCAAATAGGGACATTAGATGAAAATTAATATGACAAACAATAGGCCCATGGGCCACATCGCTCACCTGAGCACATTGGCTAGGCAAAAGCACAAATCAGTTCAGTATTGAAAAGATTATGGGGGGGGGGGGGGGCTTGAATTTTAAACTACCTGATGATGCTTCCATGTCAATATAACAAATGGCTTTGTTGTACTTGATTTTTAAAAAAAATTCCCATATATTCCTTTGTAAAAATTTGATCCCCCATTGTGGTTCCTCCCTATCCCAGGGGTCATCATTTGAACTTGAATCTACACTATCTGAGGATGCTTCCATATCAATATGACTAAACATAGCTTTCCTGTTCTTGAGAAGAAATATTTTTTCTATATGTTCTTATGTTAAACTTTCGATCCCCCAATGGGCCCCACCCAACCCCTGGGGGTCATCATTTGAACAAAATTGAATCTACACTACCTGAGGATGCTTCCATATCAAAATGACTAATCATGGTTTGCAGTTCTTCAGAAGAAGATATTTTCCTATATATTTCTATTTAAGACTTTGATCCTCCGTTGTGGCCCCATCCTACCCACGGGGGTCATGATTTGAACAAAATAGAATCTACACTACCTGAGGATGCTTCCACATAAATATGATCAATCAGGGCTTTGCTGTTCCTGAGAAGAAGATTTTTAAAATTTTTCCTATACATTTCTAAGTAAAACTTTGATCCTCCATTGTGGTCCCCACCCTACCCCCAGGGGTCATGATTTGAATAAATTTGAATCTACACTACCTGAGGATGCTTCCATATATGAACAATCTGGGCTTTGCTGTTCCTGAGAAGATTTTTCCTATATATTTCTATGTACAACTTTGATAGTCCATTGCGGCCCCGCCCTATCCCCGGTGGTCATGGTTTGAACAAACTTGAATCTACACTACCTGAGGATGCTTCCATATAAATATGACTCATCATGACTTTGCTGTTCTTGAGAAGAAGATTTTTAAAGATTTTTCCTATATATTTCTATGTAAAACTTTGATCCTCCATTGTGGCCCCGCACTACCCCCAGGGGTCATGATTTGAACAAATTTGAATCTACACTACCTGAGGATGCTTCCATATAAATATGACTCATCAAGGCTTTGCTGTTCTTGAGAAGAAGATTTTTAAAGATTTTTCCTATATATTTCTATGTAAAACTTTGATCCTCCATTGTGGCCCCGCCCTACCCCAGGGGGTCATGATTTGAACAAACTTGAATCTACACTACCTGAGGATGCTTTCATAAAAATATGACTCATCATGGCTTTGCTGTTCTTGAGAAGAAGATTTTTAAAGATTTTTCCTATATATTTCTATGTAAAACGTTGATCCTCCATTGTGGCCCCGCACTACCCCTGGGTGTCATGGTTTCAACAAACTTGAATCTACACTACCTGAGGATGCTTCCATATAAATATGACTCATCATGACTTTGCTGTTCTTGAGAAGAAGATTTTTAAAGATTTTTCCTATATATTTCTATGTAAAACGTTGATCCTCCATTGTGGCCCCACACTACCCCTGGGTGTCATGGTTTCGACAAACTTGAATCTACACTACCTGAGGATGCTTCCATATAAATATGACTCATCATGACTTTGCTGTTCTTGAGAAGAAGATTTTTAAAGATTTTTCCTATATATTTCTATGTAAAACGTTGATCCTCCATTGTGGCCCCGCACTACCCCTGGGTGTCATGGTTTCAACAAACTTGAATCTACACTACCTGAGGATGCTTCCATATAAATATGACTCATCATGACTTTGCTGTTCTTGAGAAGAAGATTTTTAAAGATTTTTCCTATATATTTCTATGTAAAACGTTGATCCTCCATTGTGGCCCCGCACTACCCCTGGGTGTCATGGTTTCGACAAACTTGAATCTACACTACCTGAGGATGCTTCCATATAAATATGACTCATCATGACTTTGCTGTTCTTGAGAAGAAGATTTTTAAAGATTTTTCCTATATATTTCTATGTAAAACTTTGATCCTCCATTGTGGCCCCGCCCTACCCCCAGGGGTCATGATTTGAACAAATTTGAATCTACACTACCTGAGGATGCTTCCATAAAAATATGACTCATCATGACTTTGCTGTTCTTGAGAAGAAGATTTTTAAAGATTTTTCCTATATATTTCTATGTAAAACGTTGATCCTCCATTGTGGCCCCACACTACCCCTGGGTGTCATGGTTTCGACAAACTTGAATCTACACTACCTGAGGATGCTTCCATATAAATATGACTCATCATGACTTTGCTGTTCTTGAGAAGAAGATTTTTAAAGATTTTTCCTATATATTTCTATGTAAAACTTTGATCCTCCATTGTGGCCCCGCCCTACCCCCAGGGGTCATGATTTGAACAAATTTGAATCTACACTACCTGAGGATGCTTCCATAAAAATATGACTCATCATGACTTTGCTGTTCTTGAGAAGAAGATTTTTAAAGATTTTTCCTATATATTTCTATGTAAAACGTTGATCCTCCATTGTGGCCCCACACTACCCCTGGGTGTCATGGTTTCGACAAACTTGAATCTACACTACCTGAGGATGCTTCCATATAAATATGACTCATCATGACTTTGCTGTTCTTGAGAAGAAGATTTTTAAAGATTTTTCCTATATATTTCTATGTAAAACTTTGATCCTCCATTGTGGCCCCGCACTACCCCCAGGGGTCATGATTTGAACAAATTTGAATCTACACTACCTGAGGATGCTTCCATAAAAATATGACTCATCATGACTTTGTTGTTCTTGAGAAGAAGATTTTTAAAGATTTTTCCTATATATTTCTATGTAAAACTTTGATCCTCCATTGTGGCCCCGCCCTACCCCCGGGGTTCATGATTTTAACAAACTTGAATCTACACTACCTGCGGATGCTTCCACATGAGTTTCATCTTTCCTGGCCCTATGGTTCTTGAGAAGAAGATTTTTAAATGATGCCGTTATTTTTTCACTAATTCCTAATTATCTCCCCTTGAAAGAGGGTGTGGCCCTTCATTTGAACAAATTTGAATCCCCTTTACCCAAGGATACTTTGTGGCAAGTTAGGTTGAAATTGGCCCAGTGGTTCTTGAGAAGAAGTCGAAAATGTGAAAAGTTTACAGACAGACGGACAGACAGACGGATGCCGGACAAAATGTGATCAGAAAAGCTCACTTGAGCTTTCAGCTCAGGTGAGCTAAAAAGCAATTCATTTGTCTAAGGCTAGTTCTTTTTACCACTCTCTGACTTTGAGCAACTGGTGTAAAGCTGCAATCTTCATCTCTTGTTTTAATACTGGTATATAAATAATTTTTTTACTAATGTTTCAACAATTATGATGAAGATTAATGTCCTGGACCAAAAAATCGGATGTACATACATAAAACTAATATAGAAATATTACACATTTTTTATGGTAATGTGAAATTGTTTTCCAGCAAAAACCATTGTTGATAATTGGCTTTGGCCTCAGTCAATAAATTATGGTTTTTGCAGGATAACAATATACCCTACAAAAACATGTAATATTTTTTTGTTACACAGAATTTATTTAGAATGCAATTAAAGAAAAATGTCACGGTGAACAGTACGTGCAAACATTCTGCACAGTTAACAATTTTCATACCGTATCATCCTGCATTTTCAACAATTGCCATGTAATGTTACATTATGCAGTCTTTATTTTAGTTGAATATATCTTGAAGCTGTGTATGTTGCAGAACTGAGTTTTATGCATTAACCGAGTTCATGAAATTTTTGGTGACTGAGATCTCTTTAAGGGTTTACCTGTACAAAGTCTTTATCCTGCAGTCTGAAATCGTTAAACCTTAGAAGAAGAGGCTGATCATTCTCACTTTGTATCAGCCAGGAACACTGTAGAACTGGAGGGTAATTAGTCACACCATAACCAGGACTGAATATTGTTCCTCTATCGCTTCTGATCTTCAAATCACATCCTAAAACAGTATAAGACTATTTAAAATCAGAAATATATAAAACTTAGAATGAGAATTCTTAGCAACCATCTAATTTTGGTGTAATTATCAATGGTCTCATCATCTCAAGCCACGGTCCGGAGTCCGCATATAGCTCTCTCCTATCCGTGGCTGCTTGATCACAGAAAGTGTCGTAATCTTGAATATTAACGCCTCTATGTTGTGACATCATGTTTAGCAATGACAATATTTGTTTCCATTGCAATTGAAATCAACAACTAACATCAACCGTATACAAGAAATGTTTCGTTTACTGCGATTGGGTATTGAAAGGTCAAGTCAAAGTTCATTATCCGACTATGCTTTACTAGCATTGGTCAATATTTTAATGAGCTGCGAAATATTCTCTTCTCATTCAACCATGCACGGCCAGAAATGGGAGAGGATCGTACATTTTGGCCATGGTTTGCGATGATGCAATGCTAAATTAAGATGTGGATATAATAATTCAATCACAATCATTGTCATAAAAAATATTAAATAGAAGTATCCCCAAAATCGCTAAAAATTAATAACAGTATTAATAAATGCCCACTTTTAAGAAAAATACCTAAATTTTCCAGTTGCTAAAATCACCCATTATTAGGTAGTCAAATTCTTAAAATCTCTTGATATGTGCACAATTGTACATATTGTATAAAAATTCTGAATTAACAAAATATATCATAAATGAACAAACACTTCTCATTTTTTGACTCTGTGATGTCACAAACAACATTGTAGATTCAGTATTTTACGAGAATACCTTATATCCCTTATATATGGCACTTAGACGTAAAATCGCAAGAGTAGACATTTGAGCAAGAGATTTTACATGCATTTCAGCATCATAAAAATAAAAGCGAGTAATTTTATATCACGAATGGTGCTTCTCACAAAATTATGTGATAATTAATTCCTTGCATATATTTGGGAATGTACAGTATTTCCCATTATTTTTAAAAGAGATGACAAAATATGCTTACTGTTTTCAATGTTGCCTAAATTAATCATATAGCTGCAATAATGAAGCCCTCATTTTTTTTTTTTTTTTTTTTTGCGAAAACATCAGTTAACAAGAGGCCCATGGGCCACATCACTCACCTGAGTAGCTTTGGCCATGCTGTTCTTTACCAGATTTCCCCCCTTTTAATATACCTATTGTGGCCCCGCCCTACCCTCGGGGGTCAAAATTTGAACAATTTAGAATCTACACTACCCCAGGATGCTTCCAAATATGTCTCAGCTTTATTGGTCCAGTGGTTCTTGAAAGAAGATTTTTAAAGATTTTTCTTATGTATTTCAATGTAAAACTTGGATTCCCTATTATGGCCCCGCCCTACCCCCGGGAGTAATGATTTAAACAATTTATAATCTACACTACCCAAGGTTGCTTCCATATAAGTTTCAGCTTTTCTGGCCCAGTGGTTCTTAAGAAGAAGATTTGTAAAGATTTTTCTTATATATTTCATTGTAAAACTTGGATCCCTACTGTGGCCCTGCCCTACCCCAGGGGGTCATGATTTGAACAGTTTATAATCTACACTACCCCAGGATGCTTCCATATAAGTTTCAGCTTTTCTGGCCCAGTGGTTCTTGAGAATAAGTTTTTTTAAGATTTTTCCTATATATTTCAATGTAAAACTTGGATTCCCTATTGTGGCCCCGCCCTACCCCCGGGGGTCATGATTTGAACAATTTAGATTCTTCACTACCCCAGGATGCTTCCATATAAGTTTCAGCTTTTCTGGCCCAGTGGTTCTTGAGAAGAAGATTTTTTAAAGATTTTTCCTTTATATATCAATGTAAAACTTGGATTCCCTATTGTGGCCCCGCCCTACCCCCAGGGGTCATGATTTGAACAATTTATAATCTACACTACCCCAGGATGCTTCCATATAAGTTTCAGCTTTTCTGGCCCAGTGGTTCTTGAGAAGAAGATTTTTCCTATATATTTCAATGTAAAACTTGGATCCCTACTGTGGCCCTGCCCTACCCCCGGGAGTAATGATTTAAACAATTTATAATCTACACTACCCAAGGTTGCTTCCATATAAGTTTCAGCTTTTCTGGCCCAGTGGTTCTTAAGAAGAAGATTTGTAAAGATTTTTCTTATATATTTCATTGTAAAACTTGGATCCCTACTGTGGCCCTGCCCTACCCCAGGGGGTCATGATTTGAACAGTTTATAATCTACACTACCCCAGGATGCTTCCATATAAGTTTCAGCTTTTCTGGCCCAGTGGTTCTTGAGAATAAGTTTTTTTAAGATTTTTCCTATATATTTCAATGTAAAACTTGGATTCCCTATTGTGGCCCCGCCCTACCCCCGGGGGTCATGATTTGAACAATTTAGATTCTTCACTACCCCAGGATGCTTCCATATAAGTTTCAGCTTTTCTGGCCCAGTGGTTCTTGAGAAGAAGATTTTTTAAAGATTTTTCCTTTATATATCAATGTAAAACTTGGATTCCCTATTGTGGCCCCGCCCTACCCCCAGGGGTCATGATTTGAACAATTTATAATCTACACTACCCCAGGATGCTTCCATATAAGTTTCAGCTTTTCTGGCCCAGTGGTTCTTGAGAAGAAGATTTTTCCTATATATTTCAATGTAAAACTTGGATCCCTACTGTGGCCCTGCCCTACCCCAGGGGGTCATGATTTGAACAGTTTATAATCTACACTACCCCAGGATGCTTCCATATAAGTTTCAGCTTTTCTGGCCCAGTGGTTCTTGAGAATAAGTTTTTTTAAGATTTTTCCTATATATTTCAATGTAAAACTTGGATTCCCTATTGTGGCCCCGCCCTACCCCCGGGGGTCATGATTTGAACAATTTAGATTCTTCACTACCCCAGGATGCTTCCATATAAGTTTCAGCTTTTCTGGCCCAGTGGTTCTTGAGAAGAAGATTTTTTAAAGATTTTTCCTTTATATATCAATGTAAAACTTGGATTCCCTATTGTGGCCCCGCCCTACCCCCAGGGGTCATGCTTTGAACAATTTATAATCTACACTACCCCAGGATGCTTCCATATAAGTTTCAGCTTTTCTGGCCCAGTGGTTCTTGAGAAGAAGATTTTTCCTATATATTTCAATGTAAAACTTGGATTCCCTATTGTGGCCCCGCCCTACCCCCGGGGGTCATGATTTGTACAATTTAGATTCTACACTACCCCAGAATGCTTCCATATAAGTTTCAGCTTTTCTGGCCCAGTGGTTCTTGAGAAGAAGATTTGTAAAGATTTTTCTTATATATTTCAATGTAAAACTTGGATTCCCTATTGTGGCCCCGCCCTACACCCGGGGGTAATGATTTGAACAATTTATAATCTACACTACCCCTGGATGCTTCCATATAAGTTTCAGCTTTTCTGGTCCTTTAGTTCTTAAGAAGAAGATTTTTAAAGATTTGTGTATTCTTGTGTATTTCAATGTAAAACTTGGATTCCCTATTGTGGCCCCGCCCTACCCCCGGGGGTCATGATTTTAACAATTTAGAATTTACACTATCCCAGGATGCTTCCGCATAAGTTTCAGCTTTTCTAGCCCAGTGGTTCTTGAGAAGAAGATTTTTTAATGACCCCACCCTATTTTTGCCTTTTCTTGATTATCTCCCCTTGTAAGGGGACTTGGCCCTTTATTTTAACAATTTACACTCCCCTTCACCCAAGAATACTTTGTACCAAGTTTGGTTACAATTGGCCCAGTGATTCTTGAGAAGTAGTTGAAAATGTGAAAAGTTTACAGACGGACGGACAGACGGGCGGACGGACGGACGACGGGTGATCAGAAAAGCTCACTTGAGCTTTCAGCTCAGGTGAGCTAAAAATATGGGAGAGGGCTACATTATTAAAGATAGTAATTACAGAGCGCAAGCTTGATCAGATACAATATTCACATATTTCATTGATATTACTTTACACATTATATCAGAAGATCATTTTTTAACATATCTGCGCTCGATATTTTCCAGTCAAAATATCGGATAAAATACACTAATGACTATTTTCATTTCAAAATCAATGAAATTTCCAATTAAATTAAGTCATTTTCTTAATGTCATATCTTACTTGTGACACCATTCTTGATGAAAATATTTATTGCTTTGAAGTCTGCAAATATCCCCCTGGTTTAGAACATTATATAAATATAGCCCTTTGAAGAGGTCGATCCATAGATATATCTACTTTACAGAAAAGCATATCAACTGAGCAGGAAGTGCAAAGTCAATATGCTTTTCTGTGAAGTTGATATATCTATGGATTGACCAAATCAAAGGGCTACATTTGTTATATTATTTTTTTTGGAAAAAAAAAAAAAGAAGTCAAGTCAATATTGTAAAATATAACTTTGCATGTGATATCAGGCAAACCAATCAGATTCATTGAATTACACAGTAAAAACAATATCCATTAAAGTTTTATTTTGGGGGCAGATTTTGGCCATTAATATTTAGAATTTAGTACTTTGCATTTTTTAAAAGTTGGATATAGATTGAAAAATGCAGTTGAAGTATGTTAAAAAATGATCTGCTCTGCATTACATGAGCAAATAGGTAAACAAAAATTTAATGAATAATTAATGAATAATTTCTGTCTGAAGACCACATACAACAATCCATTATCATCCATCATGAAGAGAGGAGTTTATGGCCCTTAATTTTGTTTGCATAAAAGCCATGTTTATTTCTTTTGCTAAAAAGTCTACAAACACTATAACATTCTGCTTAATTAGTCTATAGGATGGTTTGGTTTTAGAAATGTTAGGGTCAACAAATGACAATGAAGCAGTTCACTCAATTCTCCCATTTCCATGAGATCCAAGGTTTCAAACCTTCTCAATAAGAAAACTAGAACTGTCCAAAAGGGACAAATACCCCCTGCTGGGTTTTTCAGAGGTGCCAAATCACTAATATTTTATGGATCTAAGAGGTGTTCACAATTTTCTTATTAACATTTAGAGTGAAAAAATAATTGCTCATTATATTTTTTTAATGAATGAAACCAAGGAACAACCTAATGAAACATCAATACCAATAAACTGTAATTACATTGTTTTTTAAAACATTGAAAAAAACAAATTGCATTATCTGTCATCTTTTTGAGACATGACATTCTGCAAATTGATTGTTGAAAAAAAATCAATTAATTACAAAATCAAATTGATCTTGATAACTTTATATCAAATTCATTTTAAAAATTAAAGGCCGGTCATCCAGGAACTATGTACTATGACAGACAATAAATTATAATTAAGAGAATTAAAGAACAGAGATCTTTAAATTCCCAGGAGATATAGATAACACATGCTTGATCAGAGATGCCCTAACAACTTCCCACACTGAACTCATTAATTTATATCTAACTGGATGATGTCCACTCATTACTCCCAAGGGACAAATGGATTTACACTTTCTGCTGTGTAATGTAAAAATTGTTTTAATACTTGGTGATTTTTTTGTTTTAATGAATAGTTTTAAGCTGTAGTTCACATTTTTGTACAGATGTTCTAGATATGTCTCAAACCTTAGAAATAAACCCAAAATGACTAAGTCAATAAAAATGAAAAAAAAACCCTGTAAAATGCAGAAAAATTATCAAATAATGTTGAAAATACCAGGTGCACATCTTCATATGGTAAATAATGTGTCTACAAATTTTCATACAATTCTATGAAATAGTCTTTGAGAAAAGGTCAGGACAAAACCACATAATAAAAATGCAAAAAACACCTGTAAAATGCAGAAAAATTATTCAATCATGATGAAAATACCAGGTGCACACCTTCATATGGTGAATAATAAGTGTACAAATTTTCAGACAAATCTATGCAATAGTTTCCGAGAAACGCTCTGGATAAAATCTTGTCTACAGACAGACAGACAGACGGACATGGTGATTCCAATATACCCCCCCTAAACTTCGTTTGCGGGGGGTATAATTACATGTTTTTTTCTTTATCAAAGTATCCAAAAAGTTATAGACTACCAGATAAATCACTTATAATGTAATATTAGACTTGTCATGTACCTGTCTTGTATCGCATCAGTACCCCTTTACATTTCAGATGCTCATCAAGTTTCATGTAGACGTACATCTTGTTGCCTGTTGACAATGTCATGATCCCTGATATACTTGATGAGGTCAAGGTCATCAAAGTGGTTGCTAAGGGATGTTCACCATCTTTCACAGTGATAAAATCTGAACCACAAAGTTCAATGTTGATGACCTACAAAGACTAAAACTTAAGTTATCTAGAATACTAGTCTATTTGACCAAGCATATTACATGTAAACCACAATACTTAGTATCAAGAGACTACCTCAAAGTTATCTATCTTACTGCCACTCTTTTGAGAGAAAGTTTAGGAAGCTCTAAATTTTGCCAGATTTCTTGGACAAAACATTGTTTACACTAGTGACAATCAAACAGTTTGAACAATCAGTATGCTGAAAGTACAATGTATTGTCAAGGGTTGCACTCCAGATAGTACGTAATCTACTTTGGAATGTTTAAAGGTCAAAACTGAATAAACACAGAGTGAAGTTTTTTTGGCCAAAATTTGTACATCGTAATAGTCCCATCATATTTGGATTTCGTTATAAAGATTCCTATTTTGTATAGATTAGTTGAGAAATGGTTTTGTGCTTTGAATTTACAACAATAAGCATTCTGTGTTATAAAACTGTCACCGTTATAATGAGACCCCCACTGTATTATACAAATTCTTGTAAACTAACCTTTCAATATTTCATTACATGTATTTACAGTAGGTGAATGGCAAAGAGGAATAACTTAATTCTCTCAGTAGAATACAAATTAATACAAGCCTGTCCAGCACCAAAACACTTTACCAAGTGGTCTAGAATTTCAAAATCTGATAAAAATACCCCTTCTTATTACAAATTTGTACTTTGGTTTGCCCCCTAGATGTTCAGGAGCAGAGAAAAAGGTTTTCAAGGAAATGATGCATTTTCACTATAGATTCAACACAGACCCACTCTTACACCAGAACCCCTGACCCAGGGGCCATGAAATTCAAAATTTTAGAAAATGTACACTTGCTCATCATAGCTATACACTTAGTTTATCTGCTAAATACTCAGAAGCAGAGAAGATTTTCAAAGAAATATTGCACTTTTACTATAAATTCAACAGAGCCCTACCATCATGGTAGCTCAGTTGGTAGAGTGCATGCTCTGTGATCGGGAGATTGTGTGTTCAAATCTGGCCCATGACTGATTTAAGTCCATAAAAAATAGGTAGCAACTGTTCCTTTGCCAAGTGCTTGGCACTTTGAAGTGAAAGTTGTGGGTCTTTCTGATAAGACCTTAAAAACTGAGGCCATGTGTCATGGCAGGCGTTGCCACAATAAAGATCCCTCAATGTTTAATGGCCCTGAGTGCGGAGTAAAGGTCTAAATTTGAAGTCCTTCACCAGTATATGTTGACGTCTGTATATGAGTGAAAAATTCTAGAACAGAATGTAAAACTTCATTCAATCAATCATACATCAACAGGACACTGCCCTAACACCAAAACCCCTGACCCAATAGATTTGAATTTCACAATTTTGGAAGTGGTATCCTTGTTTATCATAACCATGCAATTAGTTTGTCTGCTGAATATCCAGGGGCAGAGAAGAAGATATTTAAAGAATTTATGCATTTTCAGTATCTGATCTATAGAGCCCTGCCATAACACCAGAACACCTGACTCAGGGGCCATGAAATTCAGAATTTTGGAAGAAGCACCCTTGTTTATCATAACCATGCATGTAGTTTGTTTGCTTATGCAAGAGCAGAGAAGAAGATTTTCAAAGAAATGATACATTTTCACTATGTTATCTATAGAGCTATAGCTACCCCCCACAACACCAGAACCCCTGACCCTGTGGCTACAAATTTCCCAATTTCGGAAGAGGCAACCTTTCTCAACATAACTATGCACTTCCAGGAGCAGAGAAGATTTTCAAAGAAATACTGCATTTTCACTACATAATCACTACATAATCAATTGAGCCCTGTGCCTTGAGGCAACCTTTCTCATCATAACTATGCACTTCGTTTATAAGCTAAGTATCCATGAGCAGAAAAGATTTTTAAAGAATTAATGCATTTTCACTATATAATCAATAGAGCCAACTGCCCCCCACACCATAATCCCTGACCCCGGGGCCAAAAACTCCACAATTTTGGAAGAGGCATCTTTTCTCACCATAAATATGCTCTTAGTTTATATTCAAAATACCTAGGAGCAGAATAGATTTCCAAAGAATTGATGCATTTTCACTACATAATCAGTAGAGCTCCAGATCCCCTGACTCAGAGGCCATGAAAAACATAATCTTGCTCATCATAACCATGCATGTAGTTTGTTTGTATAATACCCAGGAGCAAAGAAGATTTTCAAAGAAATACTGCATTTTCACTACATAATCAATTGAGCCCTGTCCGAACTCCGGAACCTCTGACCCTGTGGCCACAAATTTCACAATTTTGGAAGAAACATCATTTCTCATCATATCCATGCACCTAGTTTATCTGATTAATGTACAAGAGGAAGAGAGAGAAAAAGATTTTTAAGGAATTTATTTTGACGGCTTGATGCCCAGGAGAAGAGAAGATTTTTAAAGATAGCACTAATTTTGATGGCTTTATCTCCAACCCTCAGGCCCCAGGGGCACAGGGACCAAGAAATTCAAAAATGTTGTTCCCTTTCACCCATAGATGCTATAATATCAAAATTGGTTGAAATTGGTTCAGCGGTTTCAGAGAAGAAGCTGAAAATGTTCAAATGTTAATGCACATCGCACAAAGACAGATAAAACAGATAGCAGTATAGGTCACCTGAGTGACTCACCTAGGCTACATAAAAAAATCTAAGAACATTGAAATTCCTAAGTCAAATTTTCCAAAAAAGTGACTCTCTGCAGGAATTTTCTATATGTGATACAAGCATGGAGTATGTCATTCTATTGCATGAATATGGGATACTTGTTTGCTGAAAAGTAGACAGGGCCATTTCATGCATAATCAATGAATATGACTATTTGCAAACATTTACAAATACTTTTTATGAAAATCATAAAATGACTTTTGTGCTAACCTGTAGTATGATGACAGACAAGCCCTGTGATTGGATGATCCAAAAAATCTCCCGCCCTCCTGGATAATTTTCTGGATACAAAGGTGTAGAGATCTCCTTTGATATTTTATCAGCTTCAACTTTTCCCCCAAGATTTGTTACATTCATCAATTCTAAAAGATTTACAGAAAGTTCATATACTGGAAGTTTAAATAATTACCACTCAATAAGACATAACATTATCAAACTATATAAATTAAAGTAAAAAACAGTTGAACTTCCAATCTTAAACACCTATAGCTTGAATACCATGGATATGTCGATTCAAATTCATTTGAAAGTCCCACCCACCTTCTCTCTAGGTATTTTAATTACCCTCAATATCTCAAACCTTTGGATATCTCAATGTTCTTCCACAGTCCCATTGAGTTATGAGGTATGACTGTACATGTATATTCTATTGCCTTAATTTTTTCCCAAATAAAACACATACTTTTTCTAAAGATATTGTATTTGCTGGCAAATAAAGAAAGTTTATGTATATATGAATATCAATGTAACTTTCACAATAAAACGATTTAAAAGATAAAATAGAAAATATATTCATATAATTATGCACATGAATGTTTTATAATCACATTTTCAATATTAAAATGAAGTTTTTATATTATAAGGCAATAGGAAATGACTGTACATGCATATCCTATTGACTTTATTATTTTTTTTCTAATAAAACACATACTCTACTAAAGATATTGATATTGTATTTGCAGGCAAAAAGAAACAAGAAAGTTTATGCATATAAACTTTCACAATAAAATGATTTAAAAGATAAAATAGAAAATATATTCATATAATTTTTAATACTTTTATATTAAAATGAAGTTTTCATATTAGTAAGGCAATAGGAAAGTTGAGAGTTTGTGTGTTGATTTAGGGAAGAAAAGTGCCCTACTAAAGGGAAACTGCAGCCTCAATTGTGTCTCTCAATCCATATAGATGCAACACAAACAAATAGTTAAATACTAACGGATAAAAATTTCATACGCTTTGCAACTATGAAGGAAAAAAATAAATTATGAGTTGTAATAAAGATACATGATCTCATGAATACAAATAAAGGAAAAGACAATGTTTAAACTTGTTGGAACTATAGAGACTCAGCTTATAGAATACAAGGTTAGCACTTAAATAAGTCATTTCTTTTAACAAAGGGAAATAAATCTAAAAACAATAAATAAAAACATCAATGATCTTTATCTACAGAGAAAAAAAATCCTCAATTGATCATCTGTGTCAACACTCATGATATCATAATCTTTTACATATGGCCTAGATTAAGACCTCAGGTATACTGTTCATACAGTTAAAATTTAGACAGATGCACATTTTTAAAAAAACAACAAAATAGCACTTATCTACTGCACATATAATTAATACATCGGGAAACAAATTAAAGCTGCACTGTAATTAGCTCAGATTAGCCATTAAATCTATATGCCACATCTGAGTAACCTAATGACCTAGATTCAAACTGCTGCAGAGGAAACTATGTATTTTAACTGAGCTATCTTCTCAGTCATAATCTAACCTATACATACTAAAAAAACGGAAATTGTTGTGTCATGGACACTTATTTGAAGATATGTAAGTCTTTAAATGTTTTGAGTATTATATAGGTCTATGATCAGAGCTTCCCTAGCAAACACAATTTTGTTAACATGCAGCTTTGTTTTTAACACTGACAATGCAAAATGCAGTGCAGGGTAGTTGTACAAAGACTTGAAAAGATACATTGTGGCATTAAAATCAATCCCATATATGGTAATAATTGATCAAAACATAGGTCATCAAAGATTAGGAAGCTCACCTCGACGAATGTTATCTATAAGTAAGGCAAATTTCACATCATATTTTTTTTTCTAGTTAGGGTACATCCCAAGATCAATATCCATGCAAGAGTGGTTTAAGTAGGACTTGTAGTTACTTGGAAATGGACCTGCTCAAAAAACTTTTAACCTGTTTAGTAATCAAAAAATTGTGGTCAGTTCCAACATCCAAAGCAAGTCTGGACATTTTCATCCTTAGATGCACCATTTATGCAAGTTTAATCATAACAGGCCATAATATTATATGGCTTCTCTAAAAAAAATTACCCTGGTCACTCATCTGTAAAATGTAGATCAGATTCAGAATCCAAAGCAAGTCTGGAAGTGTCAATCCCTAGATACATCATCCATGTTAATTTTGTTAAAATATGGCTAAAATTCACTCATGTGGAAAATCTAGGTCAGATCCAGCATCCGAAGCAGGTTGGTTAGTGTACATCCCTAGATGCATCATCCGTGAAATTTTGGTCCAGGCAGGGCTTACAGTTACTTGGGAACTAACCTGCTCCAAAAACTTTAACCTGGTCACTCATCTGGAAAATCTAGGTCAGATCCAGCATCTGAATCAAGTGTAGTAGTTTCCATCCCTAGATGCATCATACATGCAAGTTTGGTCCAGGTAGGGCTTATAGTTACTTGGGAATGGACCTGCTCCAAAAACTTTAACCTGGTCACTCATCTGAAAAATCTAGGTCAGATCCAGCATCTGAAGCAGGTGTGGTAGTTTCCATCCCTAGATGCATCATACATGCAAGTTTGGTCTAGGTAGGGCTTATAGTTACTTGGGAATGGGCCTGGTCCAAAAACTTTAACCTGGTCACTCATCTGGAAAATCTAGGTCAGATCCAGCATCCGAAGCAAGTGTGGTAGTTTCCATCCCTAGATGCATCATACATGCAAGTTTGGTCTAGGTAGGGCTTATAGTTACTTGGGAATGGGCCTGGTCCAAAAACTTTAACCTGGTCACTCATCTGGAAAATCTAGGTCAGATCCAGCATCCGAAGCAAGTGTGGTAGTTTCCATCCCTAGATGCATCATACATGCAAGTTTGGTCCAGGTAGGGCTTATAGTTACTTGGGAATGGGACTTGCTCCTAAAACTTTAACCGGGACGTCGACGCTAACACCAACACCGACGCCCACGGTATAGCATAAACTCATCTTGACTTCGTCAAGGTGAGCTAAAAATGAAAAATATAAGTATTAGGGTATTTAAACATAATTTATTACTACTTATGATTAGACTATCCTTAATTCTACTGCTTTATTCTAAATTTGACTGTATCTGTCATTCAATATTTACTGTATGTGTTAAATTGTTGTGCGGTCAGTATTTTCACTGTACTAGTCGTTGATAAATTAGGTGCCTTCTTAATTGAAAAATTCTAGGATAAATTCTTTTTTTTTTTAGTAATTGAGAATTGATATAATACTACCATACCTAATCTTTTTGTGTGTTACTACTGCCACATTGAATCAAGAAATAGAGAAAAAAGTTTTCAAAAATTTTGTATGAAGCACCCTTGCTCATCAGTAGCATGTACTTTGTTTATCTGCTAAATACTAAGGAGAAAACAGGATTATTTAATAGAATGCATTTTCATAACTAGTATATTATCAATTGAGCCCCACCCTTACACCAGAACATTTTGCCCAGGGGCCTTGCAACTCACAATTCTGGAAGAGGCACCCTTGCTAATCATAACTATATCTTAGTTTCTTTGCTTTATAATCAGGAGCAGAAAAGAATATTTTCAAAGAAGTTATGCTTTTACAATATAATAATCAACAGAGCCCCCCCCCCCCCCCCCCTTCACCAGAACCCCAACCCTGGGGTCATGAATTTTACAATTTTGGAAGATCCTTGCTTACCATAACCATGCACTTAGTTTGTTTAAATAATACCCAGGAGCAGAGAAGAAGATTTTCAAACAAATAATGCATTTTCACTATATAATCAATAAAATCCCACCCTAACAGCAGAACCCCTGACCCAGGGCCATGAAATCCAGTTTTGGAAGAGGCACCCTTGCTCATCATAACTATGTACTTAGTTAGTTTGTTTAATACCCAGAAGCAAAGCATAAGATTTTCAAACCATTAATGCATTTTCACTATATAATCATTAGAGCCCCGTCCTTACACCAGAATCCCTGACCAAAGGGCCACAAAATTCACAATTTTGGTTAAGCACCTTGCTCATCATAACTATGTACTTGTCTTAGTTTGTTTATGACCCAGTGACCATGAAATTCACATTTTTGGAAGGAGCATGCTTGCTCATCACAACTATGTACTTGTCTTAGTTAGTATGTTTAATACCCACATGCAGAGAAGAAGGTTTTCAAAAAAATCATGCACTTCTACTATATGATGTACTGTAGACCTTATTTTGAGTATTTGGCATTTACAAGCCAGCCAAATTTTTCATGAATTCTGACTTACATGTATGTCCTATAAATTCTTTACTTATAAAAAATATACATGAGAAGGAAATTTTCATGAAGAGACAAGATGCATTAACTTGCAAGTTTGATGATTCTAAACCTAAAAGTATCTGAAATAATGACAGCAATATTTTGGAAAAGATTAGTTGTAGTATTCAAAAGGTATATCAATGTGACCCTTTTTTCAGTTGACGTATTCTGAGAACCCAAGATGCAGGTAACACTAAAGCAGTGGATTTGCTAATTATTCTTACTATTTTGTTTTCCATTTATCCCATAAGTGAACCAGTCCAATCATAAACAAACTCTCTTTACCTAGTAAATGGGATATCCCTTCTTGATTCAGTCTGTTTTCCACCTTTTCTTTCAATATTACATAATAATGTACAAGGCTAGCTTTTTGAAAAGCTTAGAAAGTCAGCTAGTAGCATATTATTTCATGCTTTGTAAGGAACAAGGGTTTCCTTTTAATACAGCGAAAAGAGTGTGGGCCAGTACCTTTAGATGAATGGGCTTCACTCCTGTAAGGTTCTAAGTAAAGAATCAGCAAAATGAAGACAACATGATCTATGCTGGTTTTCATTTCATTAAAAAAACACGTTATTATAGAATAAATAAGAATGGTCCTGAAATCGATTGAAAAGAAAAACTGTAAACAATGTTTATACTGTACATAAAGAGAGATGTATTTAATTTAAACTCATTCATAATACATGCATATGGTAAGACCATCACCATCAAGTTATTTTTTTCAGGGGGGGGGGGGGGGGGGAGTGTATAAGTTCAAAATATCTTGTTTTGCTCTAGCTATAAAGTGCACAGGCCATTTACTTTGAGTCTATAATTAGAGACCATCTAATCAATCTATCACTGACCAGAGAGTGTGCATGAAGAAGCACGCCCTCTGTAAGAAAGTAATATGAATTTCTTTAGAATGACTCATTTAACTATTTTCCCCAGAATTCCAATCTACGCTAGCGCACTTGCAGTTTCATCCCAACTGGTCAGCCTGTGGACTAAGTAATAAATGAACAAACAGTGGCATATCTTAGATATTCATTAATCTGTAGTGTTTGGTTATGAGATTTGA